AATACTGCCCTAAAATGGTGGTATCGGTAAGTACCAACAAATAGGGCACCGATACCATTTTGAGAGCCATAAGTTTATTCAGCTATTGTCACCAATTCCAGGGAGGCAATAAAAAGTTCTACTGGATTCACTTTGTATTAGACTTTTTCCTGCTTCACAAAGGTAGGCAGCAGCTTGACAAAGCTATGATGGCAATTATTTTACATTATTATGGTATCGGCCGATACTGCACAGCCAGGTATCGGGGCCAAAAAATGGCATCGGTGCAACACTACCCTGGACACAACCGGATCCAGTCTCCCCCCTCTGGCAGGAGGATGCGGTCTATCAGGACCAAAATCTTACCGTTTGCATGTAAATACTGTTTCATTTCATATAGTTATGTTATTACAGTTCTGATATCTGTTACTATGCTCTTCCTTTATATGAAGTTGCATAACTTTTTCTGTTTTCTTTATATTGCAAAACAACTTTTTGCATTTATTTATTCCACAATATAAGCTTCCAAATGTATTTATGTCAACTGAATGTTTCTAATTTTTCCCATTTCCATTGGCGCAAAGTCTCGGCTTTTAATGGCATTGGGAAGGGTTCATCGACCCGGGTCAAACGACTTGGCAAGCGGCGCAGGTTAAAATCGGCATCAAATTACTTTGCTCCCGAAAGGCGTACAGTGGGAACATCCGCCCTGCGTCAACCTTCTAATTGTGATGCTGTTGATAAGGCTTTTAGCTAGGAATATTTCATAGGGGGATTTTCGGGGGAAGATTTTGAAACCTCAACACTCTGAAACGTTATTTCCTTCATTTTGAGGTGGAATGCAGATAATTTTTTGTCTTTTTAGTTCCAACACGACTTTTTTCCTGATTATGGGACGTATGTGGGCTTGACTAGAGGAGGAAATTTCATAAGGAAGACATGAGATAATTTTTAGGAATATTATTTGGTTTCATAGGTTAATTCAAACGATCAGAAAGTGGGATGCTACGTTCAGATCGCTGCCTTCAAAAAGTGTCTGCTGTTTAATTTTTTATGCTTGTACACAGGCCAGATGTGTGATCTGATGCTTCTGCAGCTCCCATGTGCAAAGGCAGAGTGTTTTTTTTTAATAATTGCTGTTATAAATGGGTAAAAAATAGTTTTAATATATTTTTATGCGAGAATGTCCACCTCAAAACATCATCTGAGCAGTCAGTTAATCAAGATTACGATTCTGCCTTAAAATATTATTTTGCTGTCTGACCCCCAAATAGCGACGGAAGCTGTCACTGGGAATCCCCGGCAGCAGTTGCCTCAGCCCTGGTCGCCTCTTGGGGTTTTTTCCCCTATTGCTCATGGCAGCTGAAATTAGATTTTAGTGTTTTTCATGTATATGGTACAAACTTTAAGCACCAGAATAATAAAAGCCCAGGTACACTATATTGCCAAAAGTATTTGCTCACCCATCCAAATTATTGGAATCAGGTGTTCCAATCACTTCCATGGCCACAGGTGTATAAATTCAAGCACCTAGGCATGCAGACTGTTTTTACAAACATTTGTGAAAGAATGGGTCGCTCTCAGGAGCTCAGTGAATTCCAGCGTGGAACTGTGATAGGATGCCACCTGTGCAACAAATCCAGTCGTGAAATTTCCTCGCTCCTAAATATTCCACAGTCAACTGTCAGCTGTATTATAAGAAAATGGAAGTGTTTGGGAACGACAGCAACTCAGCCACGAAGTGGTAGGCCACGTAAACTGACGGAGCGGGGTCAGCGGATGCTGACGCGCATAGTGCGAAGAGGTCGCCAACTTTCTGCAGAGTCAATCACTACAGACCTCCAAACTTCATGTGGCCTTCAGATTAGCTCAAGAACAGTGCGCAGAGAGCTTCATGGAATGGGTTTCCATGGTCGAGCAGCTGCATCCAAGCCATACATCACCAAGTGCAATGCAAAGCGTCGGATGCGGTGGTGTAAAGCACGCCGCCACTGGACTCTAGAGCAGTGGAGACGCGTTCTCTGGAGTGACGAATCGCGCTTCTCCATCTGGCAATCTGATGGACGGGTCTGGGTTTGGCGGTTGCCAGGAGAACGGTACTTGTCTGACTGCATTGTGCCAAGTGTAAAGTTTGGTGGAGGGGGGATTATGGTGTGGGGTTGTTTTTCAGGAGCTGGGCTTGGCCCCTTAGTTCCAGTGAAAGGAACTCTGAATGCTTCAGCATACCAAGACATTTTGGACAATTCCATGCTCCCAACTTTGTGGGAACAGTTTGGAGCTGGCCCCTTCCTCTTCCAACATGACTGTGCACCAGTGCACAAAGCAAGGTCCATAAAGACATGGATGACAGAGTCTGGTGTGGATGAACTTGACTGGCCTGCACAGAGTCCTGACCTCAACCCGATAGAACACCTTTGGGATGAATTAGAGCGGAGACTGAGAGCCAGGCCTTCTCGTCCAACATCAGTGTGCGACCTCACAAATGCGCTTCTGGAAGAATGGTCAAAAATTCCCATAAACACACTCCTAAACCTTGTGGACAGCCTTCCCAGAAGAGTTGAAGCTGTTCTAGCTGCAAAGGGTGGACCGACGTCATATTGAACCCTATGGATTAGGAACGGGATGTCACTTAAGCTCATATGTGAGTCAAGGCAGGTGAGCAAATACTTTTGGCAATATAGTGTATTTTGCCGGCAGGCGTTTAAATTTTAAGTTAATTTAGGCCTTAATAACCTGTTTTCGTGGAGTGATCATAGCGCTCTGCATCAGCAGCGCTGTGTCTGTCTCCTGTCCATCGCTCAGATCAGCTTCTCTGATTGGTTGATGTGGCGCGTCAAGCAGCAGAAATACATTTTTTCCAACCCCAGCATCTGCTGCTTGTGAAATTTTGAACATTTGAGCGAAGTTTCCAGGGAAAATTAGGGTTTACCAAAGCTGTACATCCCAACAACAGGGCGTACAATTTGTGATTTTCTTTAGTACAGGGCGTAGATTGTTTGCCCACTCTCATTGCTGCCTAAAAACCTGCCATGGCGGGCTACACACTACATCACAACACCGCATAAGTCATGTCTGATGCAACAAGCCATAACAAGTCTGCTTGCATTCGATGAACATGGCGCCGCACTGGTAAGATAAAGATATCAGGATGGACAAAAGAGGCAAGCAATAAAGCACATGTTTCTCTCCATTGTTTACCTTCCTGATTTCTGTCGCACTAATGACATCACCAGACAAGCAGCGGTAAGGAACAGTTTGCTAAATGGGAGAGGAGCCAAATGCCAATTATAGCGGGTCAAGTCGCTTTTGAAAAACCCACGTTAGAATTTTATTGGAAAGGCAGCTTCTCTGTAACACCTTCTCACCAACGCTAACTTCAAACATGTAAAACATTAAATATTTATTGTTGTCGCTATAAAGGTAAATCGTCATTTCCAAATCCAAAGAAGCAACAAAATCTTTTTCTGATTTTGAAACATGAGTTTCAAGATTGTTGGTTTTTAAAAAATAAGAAAATGATCATTGGTTATTTTGACGTTTGGCAAACAGAAATTATTTTGATGAACTGACAGAACATTTTCCGTCTTATCTTCTGTGAGAGAGTGGGAAATAAAAGATGTTTTGTGCCGTCATGCAGTGCATTACCATTTTCCTGTTTTAACTGTACCGAGGAAAGCAACCAAAATGTGACTGCATTGACAAAACCGACATGTTTATATTGGAGCCAGTTCTGAAAAGCAGATTGCCTGAAGTCTGACAATGTAAAGATATTCTGAGGTCATGGTGGATGGGGCTACTTAGAAATGATCTATTCAGACATTCAGTTATGATACAGCTTAAGGAGGCACTCCAAGCAGATCAACGTCGGAAAAACAAAACAAACGACTCGCTCCACTTTTCACCTGGCTGACCACAGATCGTCCTCTGGGTCCAACAGACTGGGGGGAATAATTATCCTCTGCAACTAGAAGAACCAACTGCTCTTGTAAGGAATAAATTATAAAAAAATAAATAAAAGAAACCCTTTCAGAGCAGTTCATCTAAGAGTCAACATCTGCAATCTTTACAGAGAATTTAAATTAGTTCCGCTTTTGCTTTAAGTAAATAGTGATACGCTCATGTCTCTAATGGATTATAATGTCCAGGCTAAGCCGTCTATGTGTTTTCTATACCAGACGCAACCTGTTCCGGGTCGCAGAAGGGATAAAAATCCACCCCAGCTGTGAGAGGGAGGGAGGACCAGGCTATCCTGGACAGGTCACCAGTTCATGAGAGGCTCAACAAAGAGAGAGACGAGAGAAACAAACATGCACTCTGACCTTCACACAATAGGTAGCTGATAAGAGTCAGTTTACCTACTGTGCACAGGGTGGATCTGATGGGAAGAGGTAAGGAAGGACATTTATCAGCACAGAAAGAGGCAGACAGGAAACCCTGACCCCTCCGCTCACCTGTGAGCACTTTACTATAAACTTTTTTTCTTTTTCTTTTTAAATCAAAACATTTCTATGTCTTGCAAATAGACTTTGTACTGAAGTTTGCACACGATGTGCATTTATACAAAGTATTGTGTCCAGTCTGTGCCCAGGATTACAAACACAGCACCATGCTGCAATGCAGAACCAGAAAAGCTGCAAACAAAAAAAAAAGTTTCCCAAAAAAAAAAAAAATGTATTAAAAATGTATTAAATCATTGTCAGTGTGTGGTCTGAGCCTTTGGTTTAATATTATACGAGAACATATAAGAGGCCCAGCGGAGATGTGCAATTAAATCAAGCCAGTAAAGCCTAATTTAAAAAGACTGAGTACATTAACAGTGTGGTGAATCTCTGCAGACCTCAGCCTACAAGATCCGCTTTAAAGAGGAAGCAGTGGACGTCAGCAACATCAAAGGCATTCGACACACTCCTCACCATCCCACACACAGCGAAGTGAGCATATTAAACTCAAAGAGACAGCTCTGGACAACCCAGCAATCAGTCTCAACAGGCAGCAAAACACACAGGGTGGCAGCTTCCTACCTTGTGGGTGTAAGGTGCTTGTCCCAGGTTGATCCCATCTTTGGAAAGCTTGTCTCTTATCAGCACCTTCAGCTTCAGCTTGGGATAAGTCACAAAGTCGCTGCAGTCTGTGAATCTTGGGTTGTGGTTTCCAGGACAGGAGGCCTGGTGCAGGGCTGACCCCAGTGACCCCGGGTCACCCACAGGTTGGTGACAGGCAGGAGGATCCAGGGGCTCCAGGGTGAAATAGTAGCCAGGTGCTTTCCTCGTCTCCTCCTCTCTGAGCTCCTGCACTGCTGTGAGCAGCCTGTGTCTGTGGAAGTGGACCTGAACCCCGATGGCATCCAGGTCCGGCTCCCCGATCTGCTTACACACCTCTAGGTCATCATAGCCGTTATCCAGGAAAGACTCAACATACTGGGCCAGGTGGAGCCTTGAGAGCCACTGGAGGACGAGGTTAGGCCCCTGACTCATCTTAGGACAGAATTAAAAAGGATTTATTTAATTCATCATCTGTGAGGGGGTCCATGTAAGACAAGCAGAGCCTGATTCAACCTGCTGGTAAAACTCTGGGAAAACCGCAGTGTTACCTGAAAAGTTTCCGCAGGTGTTCTGGCGGTTGGCTGATTAAATCCCAGCTGAAGGTTTCCCAGCTTAATGACTTTAAGATGTGACGTCACATCAAAAGAGTTGAAATAAAGCAGTGAACAGGTGAATCTTGGTCATTAATTGTCCACCAGGCGCGTTTCTTCTAATCCAGACTCTTTAACTTATGAGTTACCTTTTAAAGTTGAGACGTTTTCCCAAACTCTTGATTAAAAACGTTTTAGCAGGTCAGAAATATTAACATTTCCCGCAGGAATGCATCCATCCTCTTTGTTTCATTCATCGCAGCGGTGCAGAAAACGCGCAGCTCCATCAAACATTTATCCAGGCAGCAAAAACAGGCAGCTGCAAAAACAGCGTTAAAAAGAAGAAAAATAAAGCAAATCTGCAGCCGAGCTGAACGCATCCGATCTGTTCTCCTCATAAGCGTGTTTTTAAGTTTCCTCAGCTCCTCTCGTTTCCCCGGACAGTTTCCTCAGAGTGAGGATGCTGCGGCTCCGGCTGCTCTGCCCGCTGGAGGACCGGTGAGCACTGCTGCCACCTGCAGGCTGCTCTCAGAAGTGCAGGAGCACAAAACATTACAAAGAATTCCCGTTTTAACTTATGACCTTCAAGCTAACACAATAAGCTGGACTTTATTGAAATTCATGTTTAATCACTTTAATTAGATTTATTTAGAACTTATTTCAATATTGCAAAACTGTTATTAAATATTGAATAACAATAATTCAACCTAATAATAGCCACATGTGTTCATGAGTTTGTAGTCCAGGCTAAGAAATAAAAAAATTGCACATTTTAAAACTGAGCAATTCCTCTTTAAGCAATTTAGATCCTAAACTGTGGTATTTGTTTTCCTTTTGGAGCACCTAAATGTACGGTAGAGGATTAGGGCCACTGAGAAAGGGAAAAAGTTAACCGATTTTTAAATATAATTTCAGTTTAATATGGGAAAAAAGTCAGAATTCTGACTTTAATCTCAGAATGTTGGATGTTAATCTTAAAGGGCACCATGGAGGGAGAAATGTGGACAAATATGTGAGTAGTTTGGGAGGGCCAGTGACACATTGGTGGAAAATGATGGAATTAGGAGACTTTTTTTACGTGCCCGAGGGGTTTCTGGTGATTCTACTTCATGAAGGAAAGATCAGAAAGTGATTAAAACAAGAGAGCTAGTTTAGTCTCTGAAACAGACATGGCTACAGCTTGATGCTAATGTTTTTTAGCTGTCAGAATTACAGATTAAAGTCAGAATTGTAAGAAAAAATGTCAGAATTCTGACTTTTTTCTCATATTATACTGAAATAAAATTTAAAAATCACTTTTTATTTTTCCAGGGGCCGTAATGCTCTTCCGCATAAATGTGTCCACATTTTAATAAGCAAATTAAAGTGTTCTCCTATAAATGAAAAGAACTTGTTTTAAAGAAGTCATGAACCTTTCTCACAATAAATGCATGTTGAAACATCTGTGTTCACATAAGAAAAGGGATTGCTCAACAAGATAGAGATGGAGCTTTTTGGACAAAGTGACAAAAAGCATGTTGGGAGGAGGTTTGGAGTCAAGGTAAGGGTTGTTGAAAGGTCAAAAACTGAATTGTTGTGAACATTTTCTGGACTCCATGTCTGAAATCTAAATTAAACCTGTTCTACCAAGGAAAGTGCTTAAATATCCAGACAGAATCTGGACGCGTTATTGATATCTCACTGAAATTCAAAAACAGTCGGGTTCTTATTCTTATCGTTTCAGATATAAAAAAAAATGCATTCAGTAGATAAAGATGCATCTCCTCTAAAAAGATAAACAATTTAAAGACCCCCCTTATCTTCATCCCAGATTCACTATCTGCATGAAATGCCAATTTCAAGTTTGCACACAGAATTCAAACTATTAAAATCTTTGAAGCTGTTAGTTTGTGGGAAAATAGTTTGAATAAATTTATCAAACTAACATAAGAGGAAGCAGAAAACACAGGACAAAAGTTATGTTGGCTTTTACATTTATTTATTTTTTTTACTTTGCACAATAATATCTATATATATATATATATATTGTATCTACAGTCTAAGTCGTTTGTGGCGGCAGATTGAGTCAGACATCCATTTGAAATTGATTTTCATAAAACTGTACAAAAAAATGTTGCCCAAACAAAATACTGCAACTCTACAGATGTTCATCGAATGGATGGAAGTATGGCAGAACGCTCAGCTCGTTTTATCACAGCGCGGGGAGGGAAACAAAACAAAAGAGGAAGGGTATCTGAAGCAAACTGGGACATTTACAAATACACCAGAAGAAAATTCCCCTCATCTCAAAATGACTGCATGATTGCATGAAAGCAGGAGGTGAAATGGGAACTTATGTTCAACGTATGCAAATGCCGGAACGGACGATCTCCAATGGGATAATACAAGTTTGTAAACATTTAATATCATGCATCCTTCAATGTGCAATAAGAGACCATTTAGGACGTCCAAGTTGCAAACTGAAGCACTTTAAAGTGTAGGTCACACCCAACAGCCCCTCAGACAGAGGACATCCTGCTCCTTTAACAACGCTTTCAAATCTTAGAGCAACCTGGAACGCATACAGGAAAACGTTTACTTCCATGTATGGATGACGACAGGTTGGAGATAAACAATTTCTCCATTTCAAAATTACATAAAGATACTTATTTTAATAGACCGCCGAAATAAAAGTAGATTTTTATTTATATATAGCTATTTGTTTTCAAATATAAATATTTCATAGCTTCTTTAATCTGACATTAAAAACAAATCTGAGAATGAAGAAATCAACATAACCAGCAAATGGCATAAATAAGCAGATGGTATGTGATGTTTTGGTCCTTCAAACAACTAAGAAAAATGGGACATAATAAACACGTTAAAAATCATAAAATCTTTTACAAAGTACAAAAAATAGTGCAAAACCCACTTATGCTCTTTTAAATAGATTCATCTCAGTAGTATACAGTGGAGTAGATTAAAATCAGCTGTCTGAAAGTGGGGGGGTTTCATTCGAAGCTGCTGAAAATCCACCGAAGGAGAGTGAGACCGAGAAAAATGACGTTTCCTTCTCAGGTCGGTCTGTTTTCTTTCTTCTCCAGTCAATCGTGCTGGATTGGCTCCGGTGGATATCTCAGTTTGGAAGGAAACTCTCCTAACTTGCCTTTCTGAACAAAAAACAAGCAGGTCGAGGCATTGAGGGGGGAAAAAGTGTTGTGTTCATAAGGAAAAACGTCAATCTGCTCTCCTCCATGTACACAGTGGACTTCCTTAAGTGTCAAAATATGCTTTTACCATTTCAGAGGGTAAATAAAGACAACTTTGTGAAACCGGGGTAAGTCTTTGGTGTCAGGAAAACAACATGGCCAGGAAGCGTTCAGTGCTTTGCACGCTCAGTGTCAAAGCTTCCCATTATTTACAACATTTGGCAGCAATATCTTCCGACAGTCTTTTTTCTTTCCTCCTTTGAAAACAAGAGATGCTCCTTCATTGACATGGTGCTAGGAGCACTGGCCTTCATATGAGCATGTTCACAACACACGCCCATGCTGTGCTTAGCAAAATTATCCATACCCCTTTAATATCTTTAATCTATTTTTATATAAAGGTTTTTAATCCTTTGTGTCTAAAAATCTAATAATTGTGGCATGCATGTCGGTTCAGCCCACATTTTCTCTGATTCAACCAACTGCCTTCAGGGGACTTCTTATTAGCAAACAGAGCCTAATTGTGTCTGGTTTAAGCTCTGTTTAGGTCCATTTGTTCTGTAAAGGAGAACCATGGTGATAAATGTCACAAGGAACACAGTAGGGAGGTCAGGGATACAGTTGTGAAGAACTGTAAAGAGGATTTAGCTCATAAAGCAATATCCCGATCTCACCGGACACTGGAGATAAAAACTAACGTTGCACATCACCCTAAAGCCACCATCCCCACATTGAGACATGGTGGAGGGAGCGTCATGCAGTGGGAATGCATGTCTTCTGCATTTACAGGAAAGCTGGTAGCAGGGTAGATAGAGAGAGGGATGGAGGCTAAAATAAAAGCAGAAACGTGGTTTGTTAGAACGGCCTAGTCAAAGTAAAAAACTAAATCCAATTTCTCTTTGACGAAACATTAAATGTGACGTTCACATGTTATCTTAAAGAATTGGCGAAAATTACAAATCTGGTAGAGGATCGAAGGGCGTGGTCTGAAAACCAAAGCATTCCACAATTTAGATTTTTATTTCTAAATATATAAAACATGAATAATTTTCCAACATCTTCAGCTATTAGGCAATCCCTCGTTTCAATGGATGAGGGAAGAAATCTCATGAGGGGCGAATACTTCCGTGGGTCTCGGTGTTCTAAACGCAGCTAGAGGTTCTAGGTCATGAGGCGAAGGCAAAAAAAAGAGAGACAGTGTTGAACAGAGAAGCTGTGGCACTAAGCGGAGCAATTTAATGTGTTTGTGAGGCATCACCACTCCCACTCCATACGCATCAACGACAAATCTACTTCAGATACAACAGGACGGCAAAATACTTTGATTTGGGATCCTTGGAAAACTAAACAAAAAAGTTCTGAGCAAAATGTACTTGTGTCCTTATTAGGCGATTAAGACGCGATCTGACAGAAACAAGCCAAAGATCGTAAAACCACCGGGGTTTTTCCAGTGTATCGACTCAGTCGTTAGAACAATGTAAACTCTTCCTTCGAGGTGGGGGGTGGGGGGGTGGGTAAACATTTTTAGCACTTTTTTTTGCTCGTATACCTTTTAATGCCCAATATTTAATCTTCCTGTTTAATCTACAATTCCAAAATATCTTCCTTTCTGGAAATAAATAAAAACAAAGTGACGTTCAGGAAACATTCTCACCTAAAGCAACTTGGTGCGTGTGAAAAAGGTTGGCGACAAACTAGTGAACTAATAGCCCTTGTTCAAGTAAGAGGCAACTGATCCACAGTCTTCATCCAATTGATCTATTTTACGATTCGAAGCGCTTAGAGGTCCTTTCTACGTGACGACATGAAAGAAAATTCCCAAGAAGTCCTTCACAGCCTTACGCATTCACTCAATGGTCACGTGTTGAAGGATCAGACTTTTCTCCTCGTGTTTGGCAGACACAATAAAGGGCTTAGAAAGGAATCAAAAAAAGTGCAGCCAGGCCACCTAGAGTACGTTATTTTGCCGAACTGTCCCTCCGTCTCCCCTTGAAAAGCAACGCGTGTGTCTGTTTGTGTGTGTAGAACGTATTTGATGACGGATGTGGAGGGATCCGTGTTTGCCGTGTCGCTCTGAGATGGAACAGAGGAAGAGAAGCCGAATGATGGCTTCACTCTCATCTTTGCTGACTGGAGTAATGGAGAGTGAAGATACTGTGCTAAGAGAAATAGCGTGATGCTGTTGAGCGGAGTAAACCCCGCCCACGGAAATAAACAGAGGACAGAGGGAGCCCAGGCCCCCCCCGGAGATACTGGTGTTCGCGACAAGAGTCCAGAGCTCCGCTCTCTGTCATCAGAGCTGGTACCACTTTTTATCTTTGTACTTCACCATCATCTGAGGAGAGAAATTATGACGGTAAGGAATTGATTACAAGTCTGGAAACATGTAAAAAAAAAAACGCTTAAAATAAAACGCTTCCTACGTCGTGGGCGTGCTTTGAGAAGGAGTCTGCACTGGCCATCATGGCTGCCGTCCTCTCATCCAGCTCCCCCAGCTTCTGCCCTCTCTCATCCAGCGCCACTCTGGCACGGGCGAGGTCCCCTACGACCCCGGAGGCCGCTCCCTTCATGCCCTCCATGCTGCCCGGGCCTGGGATGTGCTGGGCCAGGCTGCGCGAGGCCTTACCGGACGCCGTTTCACCAACTACAACAGAACAATTAATATAAGTCCAATGGCGTGCGGCTCGATTGATCAGAATCACAATATTCTACACAAGAAATACTGACGGTGAGGTTTTTTTTTTTTCTTAGACAAACCTGTAAGCTGAGTTTGATGGAGTTTAGGGAAAAGGTTTTGGTTACAGCTCTAAATGGGCAAAGGCATAATATAAGAGTTGATCGTGCATCGGTCGCTTTCACCGATGGCCGCTGACGTGATTTGGTCTCATTGGAGCAGTCGACAGCTCCGCTCAGTGACATGTTCAGCAGGCACAGAGTCAATTTAATCCACTTTAACTTGCTTAATATTGAACAAATTTTCACTGTTTTTTTTTTTTTTGCTGAAACAAACAAATAGTTCAATGTATTTAAATATTCTTAGTGCGGTTAAGAGTAAAAGTAAGAGTATTCTGATAGCACGTATGATATATATACATTCTTAAAAGTACCCAGTCATGCACTCACTAATTTTATTGTTGTAATGTCATTGTCTGAATGTGTGTCTATGTGTTTTGACTGATATTGTATTATGTGATCTTGTGTTGTTTTGTCTTCCTGCCTCAGGATGACAGATTAGCAGATCTGTAAATTAGCAACTATGCTATAATCTGGCTCATTTACAATCTGTACAGAAGTATAAGATTGTTCATTAATGTGTTCTGTCCTCATTAAATAAAAAAATACATCTTTAAATAAATGAATTTTTATATATATATATATATATATATATATATATATATATATATATATATATTCATTCATTTATATTTTATCTGAATGTTATTTTTACCCATATTTTAGCTGTTTGGTTATTTATTTATACTGTTTTATGTTTTCCATATTTCTTTACAGCACTTTGATCAGCTGCGGTTGTTTTTAAGTGCTTAACAAATAAAATAGGATTGGATACAATTTTCAACTCAACTGTCACTTATTCTATTATTTTTACACACTTTTTAAAGGTCCATATTCTTTTGCTGCTGTAAAAGCACAATTTACCCATTGTGGGACAACAATGGGAGTTTCTATTCTATGCTGTTTATTTAGTAATGTCTTCCAAAGCTGTGATACCTTCACAGAGTTATCCCTCGAGCCCTGATGTCAACAGTCTGTTGATTTAAACTTAAATACACTGCAGTGCTGGGGCATTCTTCTTCTGTTCTGCTTAAAGCCACAGATTAGTGTAGCAGGTGGACCTCCACAAGATGGCGCCCCTAATTTCTGCTCCGTGACAATGTGGGGTCTACTCTTACATATATATATATATATATATATATATATATATATATATATATATATAATTCTTTTGATGTCATCATAGGGCAACGCCAACGGACAAACTGTATCGCACACGTTTGTTATGAATCAAATCCTTTCTGGAGTCTCAGCATACAAAAAAAATCCTTCTCACAGGGTTTATACATGAATGAGTGACTCTTATTTAAAAATCCGGTAAAGCCATGTCCCGATTTCCTCGTTTTCCCCCCACTTTGGTTCATATTTGCTGTTTTCCCCATTTTCTCCACCTCAAGCTTCTTTTCCAAAGCCATTTTAATGCCTCAATAGTGAAATTTCATGAATTTTAATGCCAATTAAGGCCTTAATATAAAGAATTATGATTTAATGCTTTTTAATGACCCGCGGAAACCCTGTCTCAGTTTTGAAGGAAAGCACTGCCATCTCAGACAAACAGAGCTCGGCCATTTAACAAGGTGACACAGAAAGTCTCAGTACTACTTCCTATTCTTTTTATTAAGATCTGAGGGCCGAGGAGAAGAATTGGAACATCCTCAAAATTTCTTTCGGGGAGATTTTAGACAAAGAAAGCAGTTATTCTACTTTTAGAAAACGAACAGTTGTTGTTGTCAAGAAATTAAAAGCAGTGTAGCGCAATATGGCTAACTGACCGAGCTAAAAGAGGCTAACCTGTTAGCTACTGACTACAGCTAGCCACAGAGCTACCTAGCTTTTTATATCATGGTCTTGCAGTTACTTTGTTCACATGAACAGATTTTTTCAGCTTTATTATCAGATAAAACTTCATCGGTCATTAGACACGCTAACATTACAGACGCTGCGTTATCGTTGTCCGGACAACAACGTTTTACGTCATGTAGATTCACTCAGCTAATCATATAGTTTAACGTCACTGCCATGCATAGAGCCCGGCCAGATCTGCTACCTACACAAGCGGGCTGATTATCAGCAGTTTGTTGAGGAATCAGGACACTGATGGCGTTACATAAATGTGAGACAAAAGGTTGGAAGGGGTTTTATATAATGGTGAAGGACTTTGTTCACTCACAGAGTTCTTCTCTGTCCAAAGACTGAGCTCCTCCGCCAAAAAGGCCTTTGAAAAAGCCTCTGTTTGGAGCCTCTGGCGTCTCCACGGGGGTAAATAACTCGCTGAGCATTTCCTGAGGATGACAAAAAAAAAAAGCATCAGCAAGTCAGGTCCAATATAATCTCCCTTAAAGGGATCGTAGAATGCAGAACAGAGGTTAAATTGTTCAAACCCCACCGACACCTCATAGGGGTCATAGAACGAGTTTACATTATGGTAGTGAAATGACAATAGTTCAGTGGGTGAAATGGACGTACAGAGAAGTTCAAACCCCATTGACACCTCTTTTCTTTGCAAATCTCACAATTCTAAACTTCCACCATAAAAAGGGCGAATCCAAACGAAGCCCCAGGTTGACGTAAACTCTGGGAAGTTGCCTTATTTGGTTCTGGCGTGTACTTTTGTCACGCGCCGAAATTTACACACAGACCAGCCCACTAGTTCACCGGCCCACGAACATGAATAGAGGTAGATGGAGGACAGCAGTTTAGCTGTTTAGTCTACCGTTGGTTTTATTTCTACAATAATTACAAAGCAGGCAGTTTTTCTATTGAAAATGAGTCAGAACCAGTGGAGTAAAGGCAGCGTTCCAGGATGCACATAGAAATTTTTCAGTCTTCGAAAGGATCCGAAGACTCGACAGGCATGGATTATTTTCGTCTGTCAGAGGATCCCTGCTAAGTTTGATTCTCCGCTGTTCATTTGCTCGAAGTATTTTACCGAAGACAGCTTTCAAAATCTTGGACAGTTCAAAGCAGGATTTGCTAAACTTCTTTTACTGAAACGAGGGGCTGTTCCCACCGTAAGGCCATCAGAACTGCAAGCTATGAGTATTATTTTGTCGCTAAGCTGTTGATAGCAATGCTAGCATATGCAGAGAGCCATGAGCCGCCCATCCTCGGCTGGAGGAGGCGGATTGGGGGCCAGTAAGGCAGGCTGGGGGAAGCTGGCGGCCACCGGTGTCCAGGCTACCATCACCGGGTCGGGTTCGGTCACTCCGTCCCCCGCTGGCTCCCTGCCCCCGTCCACTGGGGTTCCTGTACCAACCCTGGAGCTGAAGGCTCGATTCGAGTGCCCGGTGTGTTTCGACTACGTGCTGCACTGTAGAATCAGAATCAAGTTTATTGCCAAGTAGGTTTGCACTTACAAGGAATTTGACTTGATGTTGTTGGTGCAGACAAAAAAAAACAAAAACATAAAAACAAAACAACAAAATAAGATAGAATATATATATATATATATATATATATATATATATATATATATATATATACACACAGAAGCTATATACAAACAGTAGACTGTGCGTTAATGTACTGTTTGCATATAGCTTCTGTGTGTATTTATATATTTATTTATATACAGGTGCTGGTCATAAAATTAGAATATCATGAAAAAGTAGATTGATTTCAGTAATTCCATTTAAAAAGTGAAACTTGTATATTATATTCATACATTACATACAAACTCATATATTTCAGATGTTTATTTTGTTTAATTTTGATGATTACAAATGACAACAAATGAAAATCTCAAATTCATCATATCAGAAAATTAGAATATTGTGAAAAGGTTCAAAATTGATGGCCCCTGGTGCCACACTCTAATCAGCTAATTAACTCAAACCACCTGCAAAAGCCTTTAAATGGTCTTTCAGTCTAGTTCTATAGGCTACACAATCATTGGGAAGACTGCTGACTTGACAGTTGTCCAAAAGACGACCATCGACACCTTGCACAAGGAGGGCAAGACACAAAAGGTCATCGCTAAAGAGGCTGGCTGTTCACAGAGCTCAGTGTCCAAGCACATTAATAGAGAGGCGAAGGGAAGGAAAAGATGTGGTCGAAAAAAGTGTACAAGCAGGAGAGATAACCGCACCCTGGAGAGGATTGTGAAACAAAACCCATTCAAAAATGTGGGGGAGATTCACAAAGAGTGGACTGCAGCTGGAGTGAGTGCTTCAAGAACCACCACACACAGACGTATGAAAGACATGGGTTTCTGCTGTCGCATTCCTTGTGTCAAGCCACTCTTGAACCACAGACAGCGTCAGAAGCGTCTTGCCTGGGCTAAAGAGAAACAGGACTGGACTGCTGGTGAGTGGTCCAAAGTCATGTTCTCTGATGAAAGTAAATTTTGCATTTCCTTTGGAAATCAAGGTCCCAGAGTCTGGAGGAAAAGAAGAGAGGCACTTCATCCACGTTGCTTGAAGTCCAGTGTAAAGTTTCCACAGTCAGTGATGGTTTGGGGTGCCATGTCATCTGCTGGTGTTGGTCCATTGTGTTTTCTGAGGTCCAGGGTCAACGCAGCCACATACCAGGAAGTTTTAGAGCACTTCATGCTTCCTGCAGCTGACCAACTTTTTGGAGATGCAGATTTCATTTTCCAACAGGACTTGGCACCTGCACACAGTGCCAAAGCTACCAGTACCTGGTTGAAGGACCATGGTATCCCTGTTCTTAATTGGCCAGCAAACTCTCCTGACCTTAACCCCATAGAAAATCTATGGGGTATTGTGAAGAAGAAGATGCAATACACCAGACCCAACAATTCAGAAGAGCTAAAAGCCACTATTAGAGCAACCTGGGCTATCATAACACCTGAGCAGTGCCACAGACTGATCGACTCCATGCCACGCCGCATTGCTGCAGTAATACAGGCCAAAGGAGGCCCAACTAAATACTGAGTGCTGTACATGCTCATACTTTTCAGTTGGCCAACATTTCTATAAATCCTTTGTTTTTATTGGTCTTCAGTAATATTCTAATTTTCTGATATGATGAATTTGAGATTTTCATTTGTTGTCATTTGTAATCATCAAAATTAAACAAAATAAACATCTGAAATATATGAGTTTGTATGTAATGTATGAATATAATATACAAGTTTCACTTTTTAAATGGAATTACTGAAATCAATCTACTTTTTCATGATATTCTAATTTTATGACCAGCACCTGTATATTCTATCTTATTTTGTTATTTTGACCAAAATCCTTCAACTTTTGACTCTCTAGGACACGCCCCCTCCTCATTTGCATAATGAGGCAGAAATGTAAATACGACAGGCAGAAATAAATAGCGGCGAAGAAATAACTAGGGTAAAAAAATACAAAGGAAGAATAAAACAGACAAAAATATTATAACGTGCACATAAATAAATACTTAAAAATATAAGTAATAAAAAAATAAAGTTGAAGATTATAAATGACAAAAAAATAAGGTAAATATTACAAAGGCAAATAAATAAGAAGCTGATTAAAAGAGTTATATACATTTATGTCTCACTGTATAATCTAATTTCTACTTACATTTATTTGTTTATCGTATTTTTGGTGGCAATTAATTGTATGCTTATTTATTTATTGAGCATTTATTTATTTCTGTATTTATTTTTAAATATGGCAGAGTCAGTCCTCCATATGCATTAGGGCTCATAGAACAGCAAATATGCCATTTTCAGCCCAACCAATGTTACATCCCCTATTCAGAGACCTGAAGGACCAGATACCGTATAGAATCATTCTATCACCCCTTTAAGATGTGGAGTCTGAGTATTAAATATTGTTTTCAATGATGAATTTAGGGGTGAAATCATGAAGTGACCAGATCTGTCTGGCTAAATCAATCAGCCGTTTGCCAAAATGATTGATCCTTGCAGTCTGACCTGAAGGTTGTCACAGGTCTCCTGGCTGTAGGTAATCCTCTGGATCTCAGTGGGGGAGGTCAGGTACAGAGCTTGACCCAAGTTAGAGAAGCAGAACGTTCTGGCAATCCGCATGTCTGTCAGCGGCAGGTAGTTCACATCTAGCAGAGGTCGCAGGCTTGGCAAACTATAATCAGACAACAGCTATTAAAAGGATGTGGTTTCCTGCTCTCTACACAGCATCACTGACCACATATCACACATTGTAAGGAAATGCGCTGTTGAAAAAGAGGTGTGATCGTTCATGAGAGACATTGAAACTACACAGGAAAAGCAGCTGCAGGAAAGGTGAGATACCTCAGAGTCATTATGTGACCATTGGCACAGAAACAGGCGAGGCAGTAAGCGCCGGCCATCTGCACCACATCGGCCCGCAGCACAAAAGACGTCTCTGTGATGTTGTGTATGTAGACGCAGGTTTGGGAGGGCATGGCCACCACCTTGGCCTGCTTCTCTGAACACAGGACGGCGAATTGGGCGTCGTGGCCCTCCTGTGAGGTAGGAGGGGTGGCCGGCCTGCGCCTCCGGACCTTCTCTTTCTCTTCGTCTGAGGCGTTTGGGTCATACCATGGTTCATAGGTAGGGGGCAGCAGAGTCCCAGCAGCATCCAGCAGGGCCATAGTCAGGATGTCTCCTTTGAGTCTGACCAGGGGGCCTGAAAAATTCAGCGGCATTACTACAGAGGGTGTGGATAAAATCCTTAAGATAAGTGCATCAATCACATAATTATAACTTTCTTTTTATTCTAATTTCTTTATTATTTTATTTCCAAATGAAAACAGAATATATACATTTATTTTATTTCTTAATTCTTTCTTTTACTAGAGAAACGTTTAATCTATCATCCAATCATGCAAAATTCATAAATGCATAAATGCATGCATACATTTAAACCTAAGAGAAGGAGAATAATGATTAAAGAAGCAGCCAAAAAGTTAAGTTGTTAGATTGGAGTATGGAGTAAATTTATAGTTTAGGTTAGAGAATTTATTGACCAAAAGACTACTAGCTTTGCACTCCACAAACATGGCGTCTGTTGAAAGGCAAGTAGCATAAAAAACGATTAGAAGGAAGGGATAAAGGCCGATTTATGCTTCTGACGCATAGCTTTGCAACCGTCAAATCTGTCTCTGTGCACCTCAAAAAAATCCTGACTACGCGTCGGACGATCGCAAACCCGTGCAGACAAAAAGCAGCTGTGATTGGTCCCACAAACACACACTTCTCAGCATGGGTCTTATATAAAATCTAAATAACATTTATTAAATCATGATGTTTTCATCCTGATAAAACCTGAAAAAGTCCAAGAGGTATAAACATTTTCGAGTGACACCGTGTGTGTTTCTTACCGCAGGAGGCAAAGCCAACCGGCTGCTGTGGCTTTTGGTCGCCGCCCGGCAGCATGCTGAGGGCCACCATCATCACGGAGCCCTGGGTGGTCCCCACTAACAGACAGGGGCTGACCTGACTGTCCGACTTCCTGGGGAAACTCTCGCAGAAGTAGAAGGAGGAGATGGCCTCTCGAGATTCTCGGTCTATGCTGGTTACGCTCGAGCTACGTGAGCGAGTGAAGGCGTTATCCTTTCCATCTGGGCAGCAGGTGTGCAGACGAAAATAAAAGGAGAGATAAAAATCAGGGAACGATTCAAGTTCAATGAAAAATTTTGTTGATTCACAAGGAAGTTTAGTCCCAAATGTTAGAGTCATGTTCAGAAAATAAACACACCTCCCATCTAATCAGAAGGGTAAAAATCAGACAGCATAGAGCAAACCCTCTGAAGCTTTTTCACATCGAGATGTGTTTATATGCTTTTCTTTTGGTTTTTTCTTGATCCAATTTGCTATTTTTTTTAGACCAAATCTGACCACAACCTCAATGTGGAAAGCTGCAGTCGAAGAAACAGTTTTATCTTCTTAAAGAAGTCACTGAGGGGATCTCCACAGAAGAACTGAGAGAGGGGAGTGGAAAACACCGCCCTTTATCCGAGTTCTTCTCAAGAGAGAAACAGGAAAGACAGGATTTTGGACGCCAAGTCCACTCATGCAAGACGGACTTCCTTGAAAAGATCATAGTGAGTGGATTAGTGTCATAAGTCATCCAATTTCAGAGTAAAAGCCCTGGTTGTGGCGATTAGTACGAGTTAACCCACTCCAGCCGTAGTCATGACACGACTGATCCACTCACATCGGTTGGGGTCTGACTTAGTTCTATGTGCATTCAACCTCCGGGTCATCCTGTCTGCCATCTTGCAATTTCTCACACTACAAAAGCGCCTTTTAATTGCCTGAGGGGACCACCGCTGGAGCCTCTCCTCTACGCCCAGGGCAGACACAGACAGCGTTCATCTTAAGTTATGTTGAACTTAAAAACACTGCTGAGCAACAAACAACACTTCCATACTTCTTCTTTCACAGCTTCAACATTAATACAAGATGATAAAATCAGTTCCTGTTCAAATAGAGGAAAAAAGAAGTCAGAGTTCTTTCATGTTTATGTGTTGGCTTACCCAGCTCTGGCTTTTGCTCACCAGATGAGCTAATTTTCCGCGACATCTTGGCTGCAACAGAAACAAATACTTCTAGTTTTTAAAAGGAGACACATGGAGCGCCTGCTCAGATAAAACAATAGCGAATGAGGGATGATATAAACTGAAGGACAACTGTTGAGGCTTTCCAAAGGTACTCATGGACCTTCAACCTTTTTTCGTTTTGCCTTATACAGTCTAAAAAAAATGGCGTTTTATAAAACCAACGTTTAATAGTGCATAATTATATAGTTTTTAAACTGTTACGCTCATAGAAAATATGAAAACTGAGGAAAGCTGGGCATATAAACTTTATGCTTGTGCCCTTTTTTGGTCATCTTTCTTGAGAGTTTTGCGTTATTCTGATGAATGTGTTTTGGTGGAGTAGTGCACAACTAACTAGGGCTGCAACTAATGATTTTGCAAATCGATTAGTCTGGGTTAGTCTGTCGATCGCTTTTTCAATTAATCAATTAATAATCGGATAGCCAAAGATTCTTTGAAGAAGAGTTTTTATGAAATTAAACCAGGTTAAACTCAAACTTTTCCACTTGAGGAATTCTGGATAGAGCATATTGACATAATTATTATTATTAATATAATTTTTTTAAATCTTAAATGCAAAATGTTTATATATTACGCCACAATTTCCCCATTGTGGGGCAATAAAGCTAACCTGACTCCGCCAGATGGATTTGCTCCGCATATCCATCTGGAAACCTTCCGTTGAAGTAATTTTGAGAAGGGGCGAAAATACTGGTTAGCTGATTGGCCTATGTTGGTGATAGACGGGCCAAATAAACCAATCAGATCAAAGAAGCATATGACGTACTAACAGAGGAGCCAATTGATAGATCAAACTCTTGGTGAAACCAGTCGGGAGAAGAGCAAAAACATCTTTTCCTCTGAGAAAAGCCTCCAGAGCAGTGTTTTGCTCTTCTTTCAGTGAAGAAATACTCTGTAATTCCGATAAAACTTGCTCGATAGCCACGCTAACGCTAGTTTCATCGGCTGAAGCCGCCATGTTCTTTAGACTGAACTGTCGCGCTTCTCGTTGCGTCACACCTCAACCCGCCTCAAAGCCAACGCTGATTGGACGTTCGTTTGGTGAACGGCTCCAAATTTTCTTCAACGGAGAGTCTCCAGACTGATTAGCGAGTGAAACCTTGAAAGCTCGCGAGATCAGGATGGTCTCACGAGGCTACAATAAAGGATTTTCTTCTTGTCTTCTTCTATTTTTAGTTTTAAATCTTATATAATTACTGATCTAATTGGGTCGCTCTGTCAGCAAAAGGAATGTTTTAGAGTCTATATATACCAGTTAATAATTGATCGATTACTAAATTAGATGACGATTATTTCAATAATCGATTAATCCGATTAATTGTTTCAGTCCTACAACTAACCCACATCATGCTGCTAGATGCTTCCTCTCAACTGATCTGTGGATCTTTGGAGATCCTCCAGTATTGCTAGAGGTTTGCAGTAATACCCCACATTATTCTCAGAGCTTTGATTTAATCCATAATTCAAGATTAGTTAAAACTGCGTTTATGTTGATTTAAAACCAACAAACTTCTCATATGGAACGAGTGGATTCAGCTTTCTACCCAGGTGGCTTTGAGGCCAGTTAATTGCATCTATTAAAGCAATGTGACATGTTTAATTTTCGTTTAATTCTTTTTTTTTTACTTCATAACTATGCACCATGTTGCGTTGGTGTCTTACATGAAGTCCATATAAAAAGCTTTAGTTTCTGGAGGTAAAACGATCACATTTAAAGAACTGATTGTATTCCAGCTCATGTCAAAGATACTGAGCATGAAACTACATTTTTATATTCCCAAAAAAAAAAACAAGAATTGTAAATTTTTTATTTTTTTGCTCTGCTACCAGGAGTGTTGCCGTTCCAAAAAATGAATCCCCAAAAGTTGCCTTTAGCAGTCCACAGCCACCCTCAAATCCACCATGAGAATACAAATAAGGCACAGAAGCGTCGCAGAGGAGCCGCACTGTCAAACGAAGCAAGAAGCAGCTGAGAAATAAGATAATTATGACTCAGTCAACATTGTTATGCAAAGAGAGTAGGTGGAAACAAAGAGAAACCAAGTGGATAGCCCAAAGATTGCACTGATTGGAACCCCTGGAAAAGAAAGTCGGAAAGCATCGACGATCTAAAATAATTCAGCTTTTTTAAAATTCAAGTGGTTAGTGGAACAAATATTAAGACAGGGAAGCAGATTTTCTATGCTTCTTTTGGGGGAAGGGGAAGTAAAAAGCATCAAATAAATACATCCCCAAGCAATATTCTGTAAAGGTTTGTTGAAAATAAGAATTTGCATAGAAAATCTGCAAAACAGACAGAAAACTGAGAGGTACCCTGTCATGCAATCAATAAAGGAACATGATTATTTCAATAATCCACATCTCCAATGAAAATCTGTCCTGAATTTGCACGTTTTGCACAGACTGGCAGAGGATAAATGCGCAGCTTTGTTAGAGCGCCGTCATTCATAGAGCGAAACGGTGAGTAGCTAGAGAGGAGGCACATGAAAGATACAGTACCAAAGTCATTGGCAACCGTCTTGGAAAAGCGTCTGCTTTTTAACTTCACTAAAAATAAGGTTTTGGGAAAAGAAGACAAATCAGACGTCTTCAGCCATTTTTAATGATTTGCTGGAATTAGGAGGCCGCATGCACTAAAAGATACGGTACCCTTCTCTATGAAGTTCTGTTTTCGTTCATCGTCTGAATTGCAGGGTGAGGGAGATCCTGGATGATAAATAGCATTTGGGGAAAAAACATGCTTACAAAAAAAAAAAAGGATATTTTTGGCAGAAGATTTAGCAAAGAGGCTTACCTGACGTAGGGGATTTGCATCGCTCCTCTGAGTTGTTAGATGCGTCGTTAGAATCGCAAAGTCCTGCAGAAAATATGGATAAAAAAAGTGAATTCCATCAATTTCTCAGCACACCTCCCTCAAAAAAACAAATCTGTATCTTACACCTGATGCAACTGGGGATGGGAGGTGTCCTCTAAGAGTTTCTGCAGGGAGGGCTACTATTATAATATATTAAAGGATAAATTCAACGTGGGTACTGCTGGTCCACTAACACTGAAAGCTCAGTAGAAAGATACAACACCTGATTTACTTTTATTGGCCTCAGCTCTAGTAGCCCCATATTTCACCGTTTAAATATAAATTAGGAGGCTTTATTGTCGCTCTGAGGTGCGTATCGCATATCAAAACCAGGGAGTGTATCTTATTGGGAAACAAGGGAAAAAACCTCCAAGAGCAAAACAATTGTGAGAGAAGAATGGGGAAAAGAAATCTGACACAAAGGAACTTACTGAAGTGAGAGGAGCGCAGTTTTTTCACAGACTGAGAATACACGTTAGAAAGTCTGGACATGTGAGACGTGGCAGTTGGAATGTCTTTATCAAAGATCACACAAAGAGACCAACAAAAAACAGTGAAAAACAAATGAGAAAGAACAAAAAATGTGAAAATATGACGTGTAAACTCCAAAAGAAAAGAAAAACTAACAAATTCTTTAAAGGAATAGTACACCCAAAACATGATTAGCCTTCATTTTCTACTCACCCCCATGCTGAACAACACTCTGGAGTACTTTTTTGATATCTCAAATGCATCTGGAGATCTGGGAGGCTTCTTGCTGTCTGCTGACATTCAAATAATGGAGGTCTATGGCGCCCGAGGCAGAAAGGTCCATAAAAGTCCACAAAAAACGTGTCAATATTCCTCCATACTGCTCGTCCAATGTATTCCAAGTGTCCTGAGTGGGTAGCGTCCATAATTTACTCGAAACGAAGTCATTTAGAATGTTTTTAGAGCATAAACAGTAGTGTATAGGATTTCCTAAAAGCGCGTTCACGAGTCTACGGAAACCGCGGCAGACCAAACCAGATGAAAGTGCGCATTCAGCTCGGCAAAGAACTCATGCTCTTCCTCAACACTGAAGTCCTCAGACATTTTTCTTTCGTTGTTTCTTTCTTTGCACAGGTAAACAGCACATTTCTTCTTCTACGCTTGCATTATCAAGAGCAGACGCTGAGTGCGCACTTTCATCTAGTTTGGTCTGCCGCGGTTTCCGTAGACTCGTGAACGCGCTTTTAGGAAATCCTATACACTACTGTTTATGCTCTAAAAACATTCTAAATGACTTCGTTTCGAGTAAATTATGGACGCTACCAACTCAAGACACTTGGAATACATTGGACGAGCAGTATGGAGGAATATTGACACGTTTTTTGTGGACTTTTATGGACCTTTCTGCCTCGGGCGCCATAGACCTCCATTATTTGAATGTCAGCAGACAGCAAGAAGCCTCCCAGATCTCCAGATGCATTTGAGATATCAAAAAAGTACTCCAGAGTGTTGTTCAGCATGGGGGTGAGTAGAAAATGAAGGCTAATCATGTTTTGGGTGTACTATTCCTTTAAGATCTGCTGTTGAGTCTGATCCTGATCAGACCAAGAGAGGCATTGATATGTCTCTGTATCGCTATTATAATAACTAGCTAAAAACAAAAGACTAAACAACAACTTAATGCGAAATGATTCAAAGTTTGTTTTCTTATGCATCAGTCAGATGTTTCATGATGTAAAGAGGTGTGAGAGGCTGTTTGAAAGAAACAGTTTTATGAAAGACTTGTCAGCTGATTCAGGATGTAAAACATCCACTCCAGATAACAGGTACCCCATTTAAACTACCCTTGAAAAACCGGTCCGAGCTCAGTAACTGAGATAACTTATCGTGTGTAAATGGAAAGCAAACTGAACTGAACCGAGCTAGACACAACCGAACCCAGCTAACTGCAGACCAGTTCCAGAGGTGGGCTCGGTTCGGTTTTTCCCTGGCTCTGTTCTCTGATAACAAGAGCGCATGAGCAGAACGCGTCATCTCCGTCTGGCTGCACATCGCAATTCACACTCCATTCCAGTAGTTGGCGGTACTGCCCCTCCAGAAACAGAAGAAGAAGAACTATAACTATAATTTTACTTTCTCAAGTAAATCCACGAAAGGTTGCCGTCTTCGCCTGACCCTCCGCAAACACCGAAGTACAGCATAACTTTCTGAATGTGACGGGCGCCGCCATTTTGATTTGCTTGATTCTCTCCTTCTTCGTCTTCTTCTTGTTGTGTTTTATGGCGGTTGGCAAACAGCTTTTGGTGCATTACCGCCACCAACTGCTTGATTTCCTCCTTCAATGCTGGCAGTAATACCGCAGATCGTCACTAGGAGGCGAGGAACCGAGATAGCGTGATGTGTAAACGGTCGTCAGAACCGAGCTCGGCCTGGTTAACTGATCCGAGCTCGGACCGGTCTCGGCATGGATCAGTTTTTCAAGGGTAGTGGAAATGGAGTAAGGGTCTACTTTGTTTAATTCCTCTGGGCTTTTAACGTGGGGTTTTCCAAAAGTTGCTATTCAATCCCTCAAGAGAAAACTAATCTTTTAGTACTGCTATTTGTAATAGCCATGGACAGCTGTGTTGCGTGTTTGAGACTTCTTCCTTAAACATGGCAGAACTTAGTAAATCAGGTGTGGAAGAAGGAACGCTTCTCACTTCCTTCAGGGCAGAGCCCCAGGAGCTCTAAAGCTGCCCACCTTGAGTTTTAAGTGTTCTTCTCTAATCAGAAATCTCCTAAAAGTCTAACAGAAGCACCTTTACATAACTGTTAAAGATTGGGTTTAGCAGTTTTTAATTCTAACAAAAACGGATCGTAACACAAAGCTTTAAATGAAGAGAAGGGATCAGTGACAAACATTATGATAAAAAAAAGAAAAAAAAAAGGCAGAAAGAAGATTTTTAACAGGGAAGTGAAGACAAAATATTTCCTAACTCAGTGAGGGCAGAGCTATGATGAAGCATTACTGACATGCCCGCTCTCTGCTGTCTTTGCACTATCCTACTCAACAGATGGAGAACCTGTGAGTGATGCCCCCTGTTGAGGGAGAGAAGCTACTGCATGGTGTGAAGTCAGGCCAGCTGCCAAGTGTCAGCTCTGCCCGTCCAGCACCTCTAGCAGCTGCCTGATCAGGTTTAGCTGAGACACGACAGCCGCAGCAAACAAATCGCGCATGGACTGCATTTCAGAGAGATTCATGTTCAGCGAGGCCCCGACCAGGAGAAAAATTAGACCGAGGTGTAATTGTTTGGAATGCTCCTCACCTCCAGAAGGCTGGCGGGGTTTACGCGGGGAGCAGGGCTGCCTCTGGCAGGGGTCGGATGGGCTGGACAGCTCCGAAATACTCATGCTGAGGAGCAGCGTCTTCTGGACGTAGTCCACTACAGCCAGACCGTTACTGTTTCCAAACACCACACTAGATACGCAGGAAGAACAGGTTAAAACGCCACATTCAGCCTCCATTCCACCCTGTCCTCATTTCCTCATGTTAAAAACCAACATTTAGCTTTTTATTGGAATTATTAATAATAGACCAACATAAAGAAGTTATATTTCTCTAAAATGGGATTCAATAAAATGTATTTGACACTTAAATGCAGCATAAAAAAATACATATAATAAACAACTGATATTTGCTATGAACTAAAGTATACCGATAAATAATACTATTTATTTATTTATTTATACAAACAGCAACATTCACTAGAATTATCCTATTTTTCACAACATTTTGTGGTCCTAGTAAATTTACGTAATAAAAAATAACGTAATAAAAAAAAAGGAAATGTTTTTGTGCAAATTTTGTCCAAGAAAAAAAAAAAGAAAAGAAGAAAACAATGAAAATGTGCAGACTTTTATAGACGTAAGCAGGAACCATGCACAGAGATGTAAGGTGGCGCCAACATGCCAGGTGGAAACTTACAGGCCGTAGGAGGAGTTGACTGCCAGGCTGGTGATCTGCTGAGGCGGCTCCCCGCTCACCCACACCAGCTGGACCACCAGCTCCACCTGGTAGCCCGGAGACTGTTTCAGCGGGGAGCTCCGCACCCTGCATCAAACACACGGCAGGTTATTATCCCCCTCAGGGTAGGCCACACCGTTATTCCCCTTCCTCCTGTTACTGTCAGACATCTTTATTACTTCTAAGATTTCTCTATAGATGGGATCATTTCAGTCCTCAGCCCCGGAGGGAATAAACTGATGACTGCATCACTTCCTTTAGGTTTATTACTATGTTGACACCATTTATTCTCTTGTAAATAGCTAGCTTCACAAATACATAACCCATGTAGCCAAAAATAAATATTTCTGCATACTGTAGGCATGGTATATTGTCTCTGGGTCCTTCAGAAGAGTTGATGCCTGCAGAGAGCTGATTTGGAGGCTCAGCTTCCTGAGGGCTGGGGGGAACTGCAGAGGTGGGGGTGTGGTCTCCTCCCGGATCGGGGGAGTCGGCCTCGCTAAACTCGCATTGCATCCGGATTTCGAGCAGCTAAACACAAGACAGGAGAAGATGTTGAACGTAAGGATTAGCAGCTCAGATTTCTGGCTTTAGGACGAATTCATAAGTAAACACAAACGACTTTAGGATAGAGCTGGGCGATAGGACCTCAGATCAAAACCACCATAAACTGGGCACTTTTAACTCGATAATGGTAAACGCACCGTCTCCTAGGGCTGTCACGGTTGAGGAATTCCCCCTGCGATTATTCAAGGAGGCTAAATATTGCAATATGCGATATTCAGGGTTCCTACAGCATAAGACAAGTTAAATTCAAGACTTTTTAATGCAACTTGAAATAAAAATTTAAGACCCAATTCACAAGAAACACAAGAAAAACCCACTTGCAACAACTTTACCCAAAGGTTTATTTTAACATAAACCACTGCACTAATGTTTCAAATTTGGAAAAGCTTCCCATACAGGAAGAAAGCTAAAAACAGACAAATGACAGATATATTTGAACAATTATTTAACTGAATTCACAAACTTTGTTTTAGCAGGGAACAAAACAAATCAGTTTTAAAGCCCCAACATAACCAGTGCTAAGTCTTTTTTGCAGCTATTTTTCTTTGTATGGTTTTCTTAGTATGTTTGATTTGGTGATAAGTGGAGTTTTAGCCATGGAGAAAACTCCTGGATGGAGCCAATTTTCGTTACATTTACATTTGCTCGTATTTTTCAAACAAAAAGTTAACTGCGCATCTCCCAAATGTCCCGGCTGCAGCAACGCTTTTATTGGTTCCTATCGTGGACGGAACCAATAATGGCGAGCTGCTATTTTTTTTTTATATATAAAAAAAAACTAAAAAAAGTAAATTTTGATGTTTTATTTAGATTACAAAAATAAATCATAATAAAAATAATCCTATTTATGATGTTTTAAAAAATTAAAACCTACGAAAGACTGATTTAAGACATTTTAATACCAATTAAGGCCTTAGTTTTATTTTGAAGAATTCAATGCCTTTTAAAGCTACAGTGTGTAATTTTGTGCAACATCAAACGACCAGACTCGATAGTGGTATCGATACGCCCAAACGTTATTGATTTTCGGGTTTTTAAAAAAGTGGAACCGGGTTGTTGATAGAACCGGGTTTCGATCCCCATCCCTAGTGATGAGGTTTGTTTACATAGATAATTTTAATACTGCCATCTATTGTTCAGTACCGTCTCAGTTCATCTCTCTCAACTTGCCGTAGTTACTTTCGAGCGTAATGGGCGATCTCGCAATCACTAGTTTGTTGGCTCTGCGCTGCCGTAGCGCAAAGATGTCTGCCTCCATGGCTGCGAGACCCGCTCCTATGTAATTATAAATAACGAATTCTAAGGCAACGCAAATATTAAGGTTAAGAGGCTGAGCTCGTAGATGATGATAAATAACATAGTTATGTATAATATATTACATTTCTGACTGTATATCCCTGTAATTATTACACACTGTAGCTTTAAGACTTTTTAGGGACCTGCGGGAACCCTGGTATTATTGAACCATCTTTTTTTTCTTTATTCTAATCTATTTATTTCGCAAATGTGTTTGTATATTGTTAAATTACCAACTAAATGGCAACATTTCCTTTGAAACATGGTGCTTAAACATTAATAAAAGGTTATTGAAAAAAAGATGGCAATTTTATAACACTTTATTGAACGCAGATCAAAGGGCAGTAATGGCACAGATATGCCTCATTTCTCCGACTGAACCTAACAAAATTCAGATTTTACAAATTGCCTCATTTAAATTGTCTGGCTCCCCCTTTTCATTTGGCTGAAAACCGAAATGCTCCCAAAGGGGCGAAGTAACATTTGGTTTTGATACCAGTGCAGCTGCCATTGTATCCTTCTCAACCTCCCCAAGATGCGGTGATGGCGATGGCTGGTTTTGTGGCGCGGTGAGCTTCTTGATATCACAATATTTCATTCGTGCGATTATCGTGACAGCCCTACCGTCTCCTCAATCATAAATCAAGGCATGTGCAGGAAATGCAACTGATCTAATTATCATTTATTTATAAAATTAATCACTTTACATATTACTTTTAAAGCTACAGTGTGTAATTTTCAGCGACATCTAGCGGTCAGACTGCAGACTGCAGCAACATGAACGTCTCCCCCCCACCGCTTCTCCCCCCCAACAGTACGGCGAGCGTTACGGGACAAAATTTCTTCCACGACGTCCGCATCACCTACCTTCTCAAGTGATGAGGTTTGTTTACATAGATAATTTTACAGATAGTATTTCATTAGTCTGTGTAGGGTATAGATTTCATGTAGACTTAAGATAATAAATATACCCGTTATTTTTTCTACGTCGTTGTGACGTTTTGGTGAGCTGCTTTGCATGGTGATATAAACAGACGAAGTAATTGTAGTCATTAGTTTAACAGCGAGATTGTGTTCGCTGGAAGAATATATATTCCCCGTTTACAGAGTCCAAGTCTTGTTTGTGGCACGGGGGTTACAAGGCAAGGAAGAGGGAAAGGAAGAGGGCAGAGAGGCCGGGGTGAGCGTGCAGCTGGGGCCAGGCGAGAGAGGGGAGCCAGCGGGGTGAGAGCAGAGGAGGAAAGGCTTGAAGATCTCCAAAGGAGCCGGAGAGAAGTAACCGAGGTATATATCCAGAAAATTATTTTACAGAAAATTACTGAATCATTACCTGTGAAACGTCAGGGACGTTGCTGAATAAGTATACTGGAGAGTAACAGCATCATCACGCAGCATGTTATTGTTTTAGACAGGTCTGAGCATCCTGTACTCCAAAAACTGCAGTGATATTAGACAATTGTGTGTGTAGGATTAATTACCTGTCCAAGAGAAAACTGGCAACTTGAGCGTCACTTTGAAAACCTTTTTCCTCCATCAGTGACTTCCATCGTGTAAATGCCGTGCCAATGTTGATCCGTGTTTTTTGTCGTTTCTTGTCACTCTTGCGTTTATTCTCGTCCTGTTTCCGCTTCTTAGATGACGGGGGTTCGGTGTCCGCCGCTTTTCGTTGTGATACAGAGTAGGCATGATCCTCCATTCGTCTGATGTTTGGCCACACAGTGCCAAACAGTTTGCAAAGTCACTCACGCCTGCCGCCTTGTTTACCTTTCTTGTTACCGAGGCGCAGTATACCTGCTTCTTCTTCTTCTTTGGTTTCAGGCAGACTAAACGCTTCTCAGGCATAATACTGCCATCTACTGTTCAGTACCGTCTCAGTTCATCTCTCTCAACTTGCCGTAGTTATTTTCGAGCGTAATGGGCGATCTCGCAATCGCTAGTTTGTTGCCTCTGCGCTGCCGTAGCGCAAAGATGTCAGCCTCCATGGCTGCGAGACCCGCTCCTATGTAATTATAAATAACGAATTCTAAGGCAACGCAAATGTTATGGTTAAAAGGCTGAGCTCATAGGTGATGATAAATAACATAGTTATGTATAATATATTAAATTTCTGAATTTATATGCCTGTAATTATTACACACTGTAGCTTTAAACACTAAACATTTTTGCGCAAAGGTAATGGAGCCTTTTTTTACATCTCTGAAGACGACAGCGTGGCGGTTTTTTAGGTGATGGAGGTTGGATGTGTTACTTTGGGTAGTCCTGACAGTTTTCAGACTAACTCTGAATTTTGTGTTCTTTCGCTCAACATCTGTGGCGTTATTTTGGTGCCACCCAACTGAGCGTTCAGTGAGAACAATGTGCATCGTTTAAACTCGCACACCTTCGCTTAATACCGGTCTGCCGCGCGCTCAACTCTTAACATGCTCTCAACTTCTCTGCGCTCTTAGCTTCATCTCTCGGCTCCACAGGATTAACTGATGTAATTTTGTTTACAGCTGTGTTAGACGCTTCTTCTCTGGGCTCATCGCCATTCTTTTCGTTTACGCTTCTGACTGAAGCGGTGTAGAAACGTTATTACACACCTGCTGCAGTGTCTTAAGGGAATAAGGAATACCAGCCACCAGCGCACACAGGCAAAGCAGAAAAATTAAGTTTATTTATTTTACCGGCATGGGGCAATTTGCACCGGTTATCGTGTTGAATGACGGTAAAAATGCGGTTTATCGCCCAGCCCTACTTCAGTAGATAATGAAATATAATCTAAATCAGTCAAACAAAAAGATCAATGACAGGCAGACTGGGATATAAATACCTGAACAACCTCGGTGGTGACTTCCTGTTTGCTGAACCTGTAGATGATGACATGAGCAGAGACTCCAGCCACGCAGAGCATCCTGCTCTCTGGACACCAGAACAAGGTCTGAATGGCAAACGGGTCTTCTTCCACAATGTCCGTGCTGGGCTTCTCCTCTTTACCTCTGGCCCTCTCAAACACCTTGGCCGTCTTCAGCTTGTACAACACTTGAAGCATTACTTCGAAAGCAGAGAAAGGAAACCCAGAGTTAACCGTCTGCATTTTTAATGGGTGAAAATTGGGTGAATAGTTGGTTTTATGGTTAGTAGGGATTTTAGTAGGGGTGTAAATCACATCCATCATGGCGATTCAATACAGTATCGATTTCCTGACCCAACGGTTCGATTTTTTTTCGATACTCAATAATACACCACGATACGATTCGATTAATTGGTTCATTTGTTTTTTTTTAACACCTTACAGGCTAGATAATGTTTCAAATTTGAAATAAATCAATGAAAGCTGTAATATCGTTATGCATTTTTTTTTACAGTTGTGATGCAGAAAGTTGCACTCCACCTATTCCTATTAAAACCTCATTCACTGAATAATAATAATCCCCCTGCGTTATAGATTCTGAAAGGCCTTGCATCAAAAAATACTGCAGAAAATCAGTGCAATGAGTGCAATGCAATACCTCGGCTCCAGACGTCCCGCCCCCTCCACAGACGCTCCGCTGCACCTCTCCCAAATTGTAGCTGACCGCAGACAGGAGGCCGGCATGTTTATTTTTTTGGGCCGAAATTACGGAAAACAACTCGTGAAGTTTGACCCGCTAGAAGAGCGAGGTGCGCGAGAACGCTGGGACCCTTTTTCCACCTGGATCTCCGCTCTTTTTGGCCCTCATGTCCCTCCGTCGTCGGACTAAACTCGCCCCCACTTCCTCGCCGCCTCGGCCGTATCTAGACCCACAGCGTGTAGCACAGACTACGCTTCAATATTGAGCATAAATCAAAAATGTCTGCGTCAAGCTCACTGCAACACACTGCTGTAAGAGTATAACCAGGAAGCGAGGTAGGAGGGCAAAATAGGTTTAGCGCCACCGCAGCACGGGAGCAAATGGATAAAAATAGACCGGAGGAAAAAAAAAACATGAATCGATTCTCTTGCGGACGTATTGATGCATCGGATCGTCGGCTGTTGGATCGATGCATCGATACAAAACGATTATTTACACCCCTAGATTTTAGTCCCTACTATTTTAGTCATTTATAAATATTTATGCATCATTTTAACCAAGAAAATAGTGTCAGACTTCTTGCTCTGATGCGGTTCAATATAAAGGCTTTTCATATATAAAAAAAGAAAAATGTATGTAGAGGGAGACAAACTCCCAGGCATTATTTTCCTCTACAGGTTTGACAGTGAGTGAAGCCACAGCACTTAGGTTAGACTGTTAGACTGTTCCCCTGTCATCTATCCACTGTTCTCCTTTTTCCATTTCAGCTTTAGCAAAGTCAAAACAATGTTTGTTTGGAGGAGTGGAGAGCTGCTGGGTCTCTAAAACCTGGTGGCTCATTACAACGGTAAAAAATAATCATTTCACATCTTGCATATTTGTTTAAAAATACAGCAAAATAAAATATGAAGATATATATTTAAAAAAAAAGAATCATGACCCATAAGTGTTCTTGTTCTTTGTTTCAACCAGAGGCAGAGATGTGAACAAATCTCAGTCTGAAATAAACCTTTTATTGAGATGCACGATATTGGGATTTTGGCCGATATCCGATATGATCCGAACTCATGTAGCCGATAACCGATATCGATACCGATGTTAAAGCTGGACAAAAATAAGTAGTCATTGAAAATAGCAGTTTTGTTATCAATTTCTGACACTTTGAAAAATAATATACTCAAATATATTTTCATACATTTAACATATAAAAATATGGCAACATTTCGTGAATTTTCGGGGGATTTCGTAGCATAACGATGACATATAGCAATATTTCATTAGTAAAAGAGATTGATATGGTGTTTTTAAATGGCAATATATCAGCATATGAAGATATTGGGATATTTTAATGTATCAATATTTTTCCCTCGTCTTTAGAAGTTTTTAAGTCTGTAATAAAGAAGTTTTTGAGGAAGAAGTAGTATTTTTATTTTTTTTAGACTTTAGAAACTCAGAAGCTGATCAAATATCGGGTTAAATATCGGTGGGGTGGCCGATGTCCGATATTCAGTTTTAAGGCCGATACCGATAGGGGGCCGATTATATCGTGCATCCCTACCTTTTATCACACAATGCATGAAATCTATCCCTGTGGCACAAAACTGCAAATCAAATCCTCCAACAAATTTCCTTTATCTCTATTTAGTGTTTGAGCAATGCAAAGATTTTAATCTAAAATTCTTTTAGCATTACTTTTAACAAAAAAAAAACTGTCATTATTATTTCTATTTGTTCTAAAATGCTTTTAAAAAAACAACAAAAAACATTAGATTAATAAACAAATGCTTAACAAAAACATGTATTTAAACCTGCTATTGTCAGTTTTCTGGGTGAATCAAAATGCAATAATATTTAATATCCCTGCAATGATAACTCAGCTAACAGCTGTTAGTTTCTGTGTTTACGATATATTGCACTATATAGTTAAAAGATAGACATTGTCCAGACACACCTTAAGTTAAAAGATAATAAGAACCAGCAGGAACATTAAGGCTCGCCCTGCACTGTGATGCAGAGGGCAGCTCACATGCCACCGGGTTGTAAAATAAGCCCTTCTAGCTTCACTCAAAGCCCCAAAGTGACCCCAAACTTGGTCAAACTCAGCTTATGCTCTCTATTGCATTGACTCACTGCTTTGACTGAACGCTAGGTGCACCAGTGGTTGCCTGCCTCGCACGGCGTAACCCATTACGCCATGCGTTGTAGAGCCCATTTTCCAGCTGTCACCTCCTTCCAAATCTAATCGTGTACAAACCAATTACTGCTCTGCAGATGTATAAACATAACGACTAAATTACCCTCTTCCTTCTGGGTGTGTTTGTTTGACGGCGGGTTTATATCCGATGAGAAAAGAAACACTTACATGCAGAAGCGTCCCAAAATTTAATTGAGCCATCAGCATGTCTGTTTTTGAAGAGAACCAGAAAAAAGATCACGTCACATAGGGTACGCAGTAATAAATTATTTCATTTATGCAGTGATTACAGACCCTGTGATGATTATCTCTGGGTAAGTCTGTGTGCCTTGGCCCCAGTTTCCACCACTAATGGGCCATTCCTGTAAAAAGAAGGAAACTGATTCGATTATGAATGTTAACCATCTGACTCAGGCCCAATTATTTGCCTGCATCTGCCGCAAGCTTCTCTCTCCCGCTTTGGCATTAGACACCGTGTCTCCCAAAGCAAACACTTAAACAGGGGGCCCAATTCTAAGGAACGTTTACAGAGGGGAGTAAATCACCTTCTTGCTGTAGCCCTGTCGTTTTTGCCGGCTGCCGACAGAGTAGAGTGCAGGAATCAGTTCCGAGGGACAGTCGGCAAAATACTCGCAACACGTCACTGGTGACTCGTGGATGGACAGCGGATACGGGCTCTCAAAAATTGGATACCTGTCAAGATAAAACAAAAAAACTGTTCAATTTTGAAAGTAACTGAAGCATCACATGCTTCTTAGAGGTTGTGTGCTTTGATCTAAAGGAGCATCTGACAACAGAACACTAATTTTAGAAACTGGAACTTGTGCATTATATTCGTAAGGAAATGTTTCAAAGCTTTAAGTAGTTTTGATGATTGATCTACAGATGATGAAAGGCTGAGATGCTCAAGTTGTTTGAGGATCCTTCTGCATCAATGCAATGCGGCATGGAGGAGACTGGCCGTGGTTCTGCTGGGATTAACAAAAAGCACAGATTGCTGTAATGGAGGCCTTCGGGTCTTCTACTTTGGCGACTTTCATCTTCCTCAAGACCAGCACTGCTCATAGTCGGCCCTCGATGTCAACTGTCCTGCATGTTTTAGAGGTTTAAGGCTTTAGCTCAGCTAATTCTAAAGATTGCAGTTCAGTAAAAGCCTGTTCATCAGCTCTCACTGGAAATCAGCTGTGATGAAGCAGGGAAACCTGCAGGACAGCCGCCCTCGAAGGGCCAACTATGGTCATCCGTGCTCTAGACCAGGCATCCCCAACCTCGGTCCCTAAGGCCCGCTGTCCTGCAGGTTTTAGAGGTTTCTCTGCTTTAGCACAGCTGATTATAATGATTGCAGTAGACCAAAAGCCAATTAATCAGCTCTCAATTAAAATCAGCTGTGCTGGAGCAAGGAAACCTCTAAAACCTGCAGGACAGGGGGCCTCGAGGACCGAGGTTGGGGATGCATGACCTAGACGACACTCCGCAGATTCTCCACGTGGTTCAGGTCAGAACCACATTTTCTGGCTAATTAAAAACAGCAACACCTTTGGTCACTAAACCTGCTTTTAGTCCCTATGGCAGTGTGAAGGTACAAAGTCCCGCTGGAGAACAAAACCAGCATCATACAGCTTCTCCACAGAGAGAAGCATGAAGTCTAGTATCTCCTTTACACCACCGGAGAGCCGTTCAGTTTTTTACTCCTTGGCCTACATGGTGACCCGTGTCTAGGATTCATCGAGGCGTAGCGGCTCTTGCTGTTCACTACTTGCGAATTTAAATTCTTTAAATTCTTAAACAGATTATGCTTAGATTATATCCTTCAGACAAAACCTTATCCGAAAAATGTTTGTAGGTATAAATAAAGAAAAGTCCAGCGGATAATAAGCAGGTTTTTAGGGAGACGAGAACTGCGGCTCTATGATAAAGTTGATAGTTCATGTGGGACACTTCTCTAATTACACCTGTCAATTGCAGGATACATTTAAATAAGTTAAATAATTTACGTCAGTTTGCTTGTTTTCCATTTGTATACAAAAGAGTCCGTCTGACAAAAGGTTTACATTGTTCTTAAGAGTAGCAATTGTAGCATAAGAGCATTGTGACTGGAGTAGCAGTCCAGAGAAAGGCTGGTTAAGATTTAGCTGAAGGGACCATCTGCAGCGTAGGAGCACTTAGAGTTTTTTTAATGATAATATTGTTTTTAGCCATTATTTTTAGGATAATTCATCTTTCAACAAAATTCTGTTATTCCTGACAGGCCTATCTGTATAATTTCATCCATTAAATATTAGTTGACTTTATTCATTAGCTCCATCTTTTAAGTGATGAAAGTCATTTTGTAAAAAAACATGAAATTATCCCAGTTGAGACAAGAACCTAAAGTTTTAATCCGGAGCCCCTCAGAGAAAAACCAAAGTCTGCATCAGAAAAATGCCTTCAAATTTTTTCATGTCTTGTTTTGAGGTATAAAATGGATTTCCTACAACATACAACAATGTATTTATTCATTTAGAGCATTAGTGCCTTAAAAAGATAAATTCATAATAAAAAAAACTTTTTGGGCTTTTATTTTGGTGACTAATAACGACTCCTCAGTCAGTGATGCTGTGGAGGGAGGAGTTATCGCTTGGCTCTGTTCCTCGGTGGAAACGCTAACAAAAACAAAAACAAGGTTAAATAAATATTCTGGGTCTCGTTGCCAAAATAAACTGTATGTGCTCCTGTCAAACAAGAAAAATCCATCACATTCCTAGATATACATAGACCGTTTAACGTCAAGAGAAAGGAATAATTACCCAATCTGTCCGAGATCTATTACAACTAAATCCTTCTCCAGGAGAACCACCACAGCATACGGTTCCTGGAAGTCTGGAAAACAGAGAAAAAAAATGGATGTAGATGATTCAACTTATTTTTACTCTTGAAGCAGAGAAGCAGCGCTGCTTCAGACTGTTTTCATGGCTCACCGCTTGGATATGGAGTTTCACAGAGTGTTAGGAAATCTACGATGGGATAGTCCATCTCCAGGACGGTGGTGCTCTTTCCGTGCATCACCGTCAAACAGGCTCTCCTCCCCACTGTGTCGTACGACAGCCCTCCAGACAGGACCATGAATGGGTCCCTGATGATACCAAACACACACACATAACTTAACGGCTCGCTCTTTTGCACCAAGATGGTTGTTAAAGTTAAAAACGACTCATTGGACTCGCTGGTAAATGGGTGAAAAGGCACAAAATTTACCGGTTCACTTTCTCCTGAGAGCATTTGGCCCCTTTTTTCAGGAGAATCCTATTTTTTAATCATGACAACTAATTAATCCTTGTCCTCAAATACCTGAGAAAAAAAAATGAGCAATAACTAGATCAGTTTCTGTGAAGATGCTAATTTTCCTGACATAATTTGCCAGTGGCTTTCTCCTTTTTTTGACCTTGACATCTCTCTCCTGTTCATCACCAAACAGTTAACGTTAACCCTTAGACTACTGATCATAGAGACACAATAATAATCACAACAAAACAAAAGCTCTATAAGCACAAAGAATAATAACAGGCATCTTTCCAGCTTTCCATCCATGCTAAGGATGCTGTAAACAGTGATGACGTGGCTGGTTATACAGAACAGGAAAGGCGCCTCTGAACACAGGATATGGATCCTGGCGTGAGCAGACACAGGAAGGGTGGAAGCTTTCTGCCATCACACTTACCCAGCTCTGGTAGTTTTGTACTCCACTTTCAGGATAGGCTTGCATGGCTCTGGCTTTTTTCCATCCTTAGGCTGTTTTCCTGTCAAAAGCCAAACGCAGTTCTGTTTTTTTAATTCTGCATAAACCGAGGTTTTAACTGGAGGTATAAACATCGGCGACACGTGGCCCGCCTGGCTCTGTGTAAAACACAACAACCGCGGGCGTGCGTTTGTAACAGCTCGTACCATGTGGCGTGATGATCTGTGCAGGCTTGGCCGGAGCTCGTACATTCCACGTGGTCAGAGTGCCATCAGAGTGGCTGCAGACAAACTGTTTCCCCTCGTGGTGCCAAGCAACTGAGTGGATGGCCTGAGAGACACACAGACCCATTATTAGGATGAGTAACATTGTGTACCACCAAACGGAAAATCAGAGTTAGCTTTCGTATACATATGTATACATATGTCAATGGAGGTTAGCATCACCTTAATTAAAGCATCTTTCACTAAAACTGTATCTTAGGGGATTTTTGTTGACTAATATTGGTATAAAGCAGGATTTTCTATGATTTTTTATTTTTTTTAATCTGGAGCAAGAAAACGAAAGACTTCTTAAGGCTTTATTTAATTTAATTTCCTTCCTTGCTAAGAACAATGGCAGCCATATCAGTTTAGAGACACTAAAATAATCTTTTTATTTGAAACAATGGCTGTCCCCTTCCTTGATGAAAGCTAGATGTGTGAATCTGAGAAGCAAATTCTGCAAAGTCAACAACTGGATACAATCAGCGGGCTGTAATCTCCCTCTGGGATTATTAAAGTATGTCTGATTCTGATTCCTTAGAAAAGCTTTAACCAATCGGACTTAATGTAAAGTCTCTTTAGATGACATGTCCTGTGAACTGGCGTAAGATAAACAAACTGAAATGAACTGAACACGCGTCTGTTAACAGACCTCTTTGCTTGGCCTTCCATTTTCTGGTATGCTTTTAGTTATGCCTTTTTTTTAACCTAATTTTACTTTAACCAACCCCAGTCTCTGATTCCTTCACAAAACATAAGGATTTAAAATTAGATTAAAGTACTTAGAGGTAAATCTGAACTAATTTGTGTCTTTTGACAACAAATTTAATTAAAAGTGTACATCTCATTAATTTCACTTCACAATTAAACCTTTATTTATTCTTATTAATCATAGTTAAAATACACTGAATAATGTACCAAAATAAGATGTGATTATACTGTTTAATAGGGGTGTGGCGATATATCGTGATATTCGGCCGCCCAGTGTAATACCAACCTTTCAGTTCCTAATATCAATGTTCAAAATAAAAAAAAAAAAATTTCCCTAAAACAATGAGGGGAAAATTAACTACCTCTGCATTGCCACTGTGGTAGATGGCGCTGTGGAGCGTTTTTACTGTGCTAAGCTCTGCCTAGCCTAACTCTGCCATTTCTTCCTGTTAAAGGTGAGTTTTCCTCTCCACTGTCGCTACATGCAGGTTCAGTGTGAGGGATTGCTGCGAGTCAATGACTCAATGCAATCAGCTGGTTTTCCTTAGACAGAAAACTTCAAGCCAGTCTGATCTGGTTGAATTGTCTCTGTAAAATGCCTTGAGATGACATGTTGTAAATTGGCGCTATATAGATAAACTGAATAATAAAAAGGGAGGTAAATTCCAGACCGTTTTTAACTTTCTTTCAGTTTGTTCAATGATTTCCAAACCTGCTCCTCAGAACCAGAGGGGCCTGAAAAGCAGACATTACAGGTTTAGTAGCAGCAGTTCTGGCAGAAATTAAACAAGTCCAAACCTGCTGTGGGAACGGTAGGAAGCCAGAACCCTAACCAAACTGGTTCCCCTTACGACATCTGGATGACAAGGAAAAAAAAAAAAAGATCTTACCTCATCATAATTGTAGCGGCAGTCTGCTTTCTTGGATTTTAAGTCCCACAGCACCACTACCCCACACTCAAATCCAATCAGAAGCTGAAACAGCAAGAGAAGAACAGCAGAGCTCAGTTTGCAGGAAAAAGACATTTAAGCAGATAGTTGTTGAGCTAAAACTTTAAGCTTTTGCAACTATCTTAGCCTCAAGCGTAACGTCACTACTCAATGTTTGATGATGAGTTACCTTGCCCTCATCCATGGGGTTATCACTAATATGCACAACAGGCCCTGGGTGCGTCTTGGTGGATCTGCAACAGAACAGATGGATAGCATTGAGAAGCCTCAAACTCATCGCTATTTCTGACATTTTGAATTGAAAAAGCTTCCTGGATGGGAAGCCAAATGTCTTCAAACTTGGAAACAAAGTCCAGCGGAATCTTTTTTGGAATGACTATGACCTGGATGACTGAGAATCTTCACCAGCACATGCAACAGAACAGCAACAAACACACAAAAGCAATCTAGGAATATCTTTCATTTTAAGGAAAAACACAGAAGAAAAATGAGTCAATTTCAGAAGCCCTGTTAGGATAATGAGGCAATTATGAAAAATAAACAAGTCACACCTTAGTCTGCTTTGCACAAAGGTAACGCAAAATATCCTCGTCAGGAAAAAGCATCATTTCACTACAGAAAGAGAGATATGAGAGAGATACGGAGATAAAGAGAGTATGGGGGGTATATAGTGCATGTATATGTATATAGTGCATGGAGACAGGATCACCGAGGCAACAGAGTGAGGGGCATAGAGGCAGCCAAGATTTGGCCCAAAGAAAGTGTTGCTGCCTTTCAGTGTGGTCTGGCTCTGGTGGCTAATGATCTCATTGCTGCTGATGAGTCAATACAGACAGAGATGTCGCAGTGAGTAAAAACAAGAGAAGAGGAGCTCAAGCCACCACCTAATGAGGACCTGGTATAAACAGCCAACTGACACAATAGAGGTATGTAGTCTGCAAACACAGCCTGGATAAAAGCCAGGTTTGGGTCATTTTGCTTCTATACACATTGCAAATGATTTCAAAGTAGACTGATTTTTAGTTGCTAACCAACAAGGTTACGTTGCAGACTTGTGAGTATCTATAATTAATCAGAGGCCATGGTGTTGCCTGATAATAAGGGTCTTTAATGAAATGCTTGCAGAGCTTCAACCACCTCCAGAAACAGCTTGCTGGTGGCTTTTTGCACCTTCAGTTCTCTGCCAGTTAAAATCCTTCTCAACTGTTCATTAAGACAGCAGCTGGCTGAAGGCCCTAACAACGATTCGCCGCCTCCACAGTCTGGTACAAAAAAGAAACGTTCTGTCTTTACCACAGAAGCGATTCTGACCTCACCTATACGGCAGTGGCAGCTGGCCAATAGGGGGCGCTAATCAGGGTTTATACAGGAATGATTTACTCCAATTTAAAGCTTTTTAATGCTCTTGGAATAATTTCAATGCCATCAACAAATGCCCATGACTCTCATATATATATTTATATAGAAATAAAACACGGTGAAATAAATCCTTCGTCATCTTTAGCATCAACAGGCTGCAGCTATGTCCCGAATTTCTCGTTTTCCAGCCACTTTTGTTGAAATTTGCATCTTCCCATTCTCTAGCTTTTTCTGCAGCTCGAGCTTCTTTTCCGAAGCTTTATGATCAAGCAGAAGCAGTTCCGCTCAAATACATTGCGATATAATATATCTGATGAAATTGTTTTTACAATTGTATTTTTTTTTTATAAAGTATTTTAAATGCCACGATATAATCACATTTAATTATTTTTTTTTATTAAAAAGAAAAAACAATTACAAAATCAAAATATCTCGAAATATATTTATATATACTTTTTTAGATGTGCAAGATAAATATTTAATCTTTAAGGACGAGTAAAGCCATTTCTTTTTCGGTCGTGATGGTGACGTATTTCCAAAAAGACGGATGGAGACGTTTACTGTCTTTTTCCAGGACCTGGTTTAGTTACAAGGCTTGGCTAACTGCATGCAGCGAGGCTAATGCTTTTTTCTGCTGCCTTGACTGCCTGCCTGCTTTTTCAGACGTCGGGATCTGGCCCAGCATGGATGAAGACAGGTAGGACTGATTTAAAGCGCTTTTTAGAAATGGCAAAGGAGAATGAGCAATCTGGGATTCACATGGAAAATAATCTGATATAGTGTACTTTTTCTATATGTTTGTTCATTTGCATAGTTGCTATTAAATAAATAAATTCTCAAAAAATAAGTAGTTTCCATATATTAAAAAATTAAAAGTTGACCAATAGCTTCTCCATTATTAAACTGGTACATAATTTCTTGGGGTTTGAGAAACAATATTGGAGCATGCAAAACACAGATTTGCCTTCACAAAGCATCATAAGGGAAAGATTGTACAAAAAGTAAACCTGTACATGAAATTATTTCTTGATTTTATAATGTTTTCTGTTGTTGGCATTCATATAAATGTACTGGTGTGATAACTTAGTATGTTTGATTGGTTTTTGGTAAACGTCTGTTTTAAATTTATAGATCCGCCTGGAGAAAACTCCACCAGCCGCCGCAGCTACATGGTCTGATTCAGTTCTAACAAAGGTGGTGTTCGATACGAATACCTCAAACTGTATCTAAAATGTTACACAAATGCATTAAAATGCTGAAGCTCTCCATAATAAAACCCAAAACACAAGAAGGTGAGGACAACTGCATGAGTATATGAAGAATTAATCTCATTTAAACTTCCTGAGCTGAGCTGTGTCGTTACTAGGGCTGCAACTAACGAGTATTTTGCAAATTGATTAATCTGTCGACTATTTTTTCCGATTAATTAATTAATAATCGGATAGCAAAAGGTTCCTTAAAGACTTCTCGCTATATTAAACCAGATGAAACAATTTTTTTCCACTTGAGGAGTTTTGGATAGAGCATACTGACAGACATAAAACATGTTTATCTTAAATGCAAAATGTTTACATATATATATATATATATATATATATATATATAGTTTTTTTTTTACAATTTTGGTATAATGATTGCTGCTGAAGGTGTGTTGCTCTGTCAGCTCAAAGCACGTCTTAAGAGTCTCTACACTCTAGTTATCAATTAGTAAATTAGTTGAAGATTATTAAAATAATCGCTTAATCCGATTGTTTCAGTCCTAGTCTATATGTTCTGTCACCCAGTGGATTGTGGGAAACCCTTTGGATCCTATCAGCATACTGCCTCCTTGTCCTAGCTCCTTCCTCACTGCCAGCTTCAATAGAACAGCAACCACCGACGCGCTCCTACTGTGGCATAATAACCGTCCTTACAGATTTGAAGGTATTCAGATCGAGCCGTTGTCATAAGTTTGACATAGACTTGACTTGAACTCGGGCCCAGGACGTGATCTTATCAGAGTTCATCATCTTCAGAACATACACTATATTGCCAAAAGTATTTGCTCACCTGCCTTGACTCACATATGAGCTTAAGTGACATCCCGTTCCTAATCCATAGGGTTCAATATGACGTCGGTCCACCCTTTGCAGCTAGAACAGCTTCAACTCTTCTGGGAAGGCTGTCCACAAGGTTTAGGAGTGTGTTTATGGGAATTTTTGACCATTCTTCCAGAAGCGCATTTGTGAGGTCGCACACTGATGTTGGACGAGAAGGCCTGGCTCTCAGTCTCCGCTCTAATTCATCCCAAAGGTGTTCTATCGGGTTGAGGTCAGGACTCTGTGCAGGCCAGTCAAGTTCATCCACACCAGACTCTGTCATCCATGTCTTTATGGACCTTGCTTTGTGCACTGGTGCACAGTCATGTTGGAAGAGGAAGGGGCCAGCTCCAAACTGTTCCCACAAAGTTGGGAGCATGGAATTGTCCAAAATGTCTTGGTATGCTGAAGCATTCAGAGTTCCTTTCACTGGAACTAAGGGGCCAAGCCCAGCTCCTGAAAAACAACCCCACACCATAATCCCCCCTCCACCAAACTTTACACTTGGCACAATGCAGTCAGACAAGTACCGTTCTCCTGGCAACCGCCAAACCCAGACCCGTCCATCAGATTGCCAGATGGAGAAGCGCGATTCGTCACTCCAGAGAACGCGTCTCCACTGCTCTAGAGTCCAGTGGCGGCGTGCTTTACACCACCGCATCCGACGCTTTGCATTGCACTTGGTGATGTATGGCTTGGATGCAGCTGCTCGACCATGGAAACCCATTCCATGAAGCTCTCTGCGCACTGTTCTTGAGCTAATCTGAAGGCCACATGAAGTTTGGAGGTCTGTAGTGATTGACTCTGCAGAAAGTTGGCGACCTCTTCGCACTATGCGCGTCAGCATCCGCTGACCCCGCTCCGTCAGTTTACGTGGCCTACCACTTCGTGGCTGAGTTGCTGTCGTTCCCAAACACTTCCATTTTCTTATAATACAGCTGACAGTTGACTGTGGAATATTTAGGAGCGAGGAAATTTCACGACTGGATTTGTTGCACAGGTGGCATCCTATCACAGTTCCACGCTGGAATTCACTGAGCTCCTGAGAGCGACCCATTCTTTCACAAATGTTTGTAAAAACAGTCTGCATGCCTAGGTGCTTGAATTTATACACCTGTGGCCATGGAAGTGATTGGAACACCTGATTCCAATAATTTGGATGGGTGAGCAAATACTTTTGGCAATATAGTGTATAAGCCACAAACCAATTCTGATCAGCAGATATCCGAACATCTTTCATGCAGTCAATTATTGCAGCCTAGCTTCCTGCTAAGCTTAAATTAAGGCTACTCTGCTCATTTATTATGAGTGTTTGTTGTTCTGAAAAAAAGAAAGAAATAAAATAGCTCCTCCCCAAAAAGAATTGCTGTGATCCGATCAGATAGCTAAAGGTGTTGAGAAACCATGATAAACAGTTTTTTTCACAGTGAAAAGTGTGAAAAGGGGAGTTTAAATAATAATCCAAGCTCTGAAGCTCATTAGGAGAGAAATGAATGAATAACAAAATGTTAGCGCTAATTACCTTTTACATTTTTGTATAAAAATTTAAAACCTTTGAGGCCTCTTCTCATTTCAGATGACTTTTAAATAAATAGACATTGTGAAGGATAATCTGATAAAAACACCAAAATATCATCAACCTTCTTTAGGAAGGAAGGAACATTTAAAAGCTCAACTCTTAAAATGGAAGTTTGGTTTATTCTAAGTCAAATGTAATGGTGCACAGAGGGAAAACAGAAAAGGTATTTCATAACTGAACTTCCTGAAGTTGAGACGTTTTACTTTGTAATTAATTTACCAACCAAAAATCCAGAGCTCCCTCACTTACTGTATCAGCATGAGAAAAGAAAAGAAGGCAGTTGAGCTAGAAAGCATAGAAAAAGACCTTCCTGTCAGAGAGCCAACAGGCCTTTTAAGAAATGACTCTGAATTATCCTTTGGATTTCACATTACATCCTGCCTTCTCCATGTTCATATGCGCTGAGGCCGAATCATCTCCCATCTTCAGTGGCTGTTTCCTTCACAGATCGCACATTCTGCTCTGACACTTTCATCTCTGCGATCTAAAGCAGCAATTTATCGGATTTCACCTGCAGCCTCACGCTCAAACGCACACCTCGCTGTCTACTTCTTATTTCATCTGCCAGTCAGTTTAGAAATCTATTTTTTAATGCTGGGGGCAGGGATTGCTAGAGAAGAACTTTAAAAAGCCCAAGTTTTCATTTAGCACACATTTTCAATGCTACTCCATGCATAGCTTTATATGCTGCCATTTTCGCTTATATTGTCTGAAGTTATCTTAGAAAAAAGAACTAAAGGATTAGATTTAAAGCTGGGGATCATTATAGGAGGGAGTGGGTTGGTGGGATCCCTGGTAAATCAAGCAGCAGTTCTGGCACTGCAGCAACACCTCCATGCCTCCCTCACACTGACGAGACCTACAGCGCTATCAGCTAGCAGGACATAACATCAGCATTTGCACAGGCAGCCACATTCCTTTGCATTTCGGAGTTTCCTGGTTCCCCGCACCAACGGACAAGGCAAGATATGCAAACACAGTGGAGACAGAGAGGAAAGGAAAAAAAAAAGAGAGAGAATAAAGTTGTGAAATGCAAACTCACAATTCAATGGCTTTGTTCCACATAATAACATAGCCTGAGAGGGTGAAGGACTCCACGTTGACAATGTGGATGTTTCCTCGCTCTGTGCCGATGTACAGCCATTTGCTCTGGAAGGGCAGGTGGCAGTATGTGATTCTGCAAGAGATCAGGATGCATCAGCGGCAGGCTTTTCATTATCCCATGAGTCAGACCCATCAAAAGGCCCCCGCCTGTCCCTAATCACGCTGGACCAACTGGAAGGAGCGTTGAATGACTGGAATTTAATTACAAAGGCCTTGCACTGTGTCACACTAATGAACCCGTACTATTTATAACTCAGTGGGGAGGAATAGCAGAATAAATATGGCTGTCTTTTCTCAACTGTGCTGGCGAGACACTGAGCTGTACATCACTGTTACAGTAAAGGATGTACTTATTGTACAGGTGGAGTCTTTTAAACACACATCCCTTCTATGGTTTTTTGGTTTACACCTCGTTGGATTTTAAAGACCATGGGAATCACACAAAAAAAACCACATAGGCTGACTGTGAATCAACTGGTTGAATGATTAAAAATCTGATCTTCCCCCATCTAACCTGATACCAGGCGGCTCTGAAAATATCAGTCTCTGTTGTGGACGTTGCTCCAACATGTCCGCTATTTATTTTTTAGGTTCTTTGAAATAAATATCAGAGGGAATGTTTTTCTGAAAGAACAAATAGATCTGGAGCCGATTTCAGCAGATATCGCTTAGAGAAATGTTTTATTTGATTTATCCTTTTGGAGCTTTCGACCCGTCTCTCATGCAACACGCTCATGTTGGCAACCTTTAGAAAATCTGCATCCTCTAGAGGAGTCACACAGGAATTGGAGCTCAGCCTGCAACTTAATGTAAGACATTAAAGAAATGTGAAACGGACATCCTTTATTGGTGATTCCATTTGTTTTGTTGTAAAATCCTGTAAAATCAACTTCACCTCTTCCTCTACAATAACAGCAGTCACTGCAGGAAGGCTAAAAAAAAAAACATTATGATTAAGAAATGCACAGAAGCATCTCAAAACTACTGAAAACTGCGGTTGTGATCCGGAAACACAACTCTGCTTGGTGCCAAATAGCGCTGCCACATCAATACCTGTTGCAACCAGGTGATGAGACACTATTGAGTGTGTAAAACTATAAAAAAAATTATTGTGAAGGGATTTTCTTTTTTTCTTTGATTGTTGTAAAGGCAAACAATGACCTCGCTGTTTTGTACATGTCCATTAACTTCTCCAAGATTGTTTATTTTTAACTACAATATTTAAAACTCTGTGGAAAATCTCCCTGCTTCTCCCAAAATGCCCTAATCTCTATATAGGGCACTATATAGTGGTCACGCCATTTTTCTGAGCGTCTAGCGGATTAAAAAGTAGTGAACTCGAAATTTCCCACAATGCACCTTGAAAAGTAGTGACCATCCACGGTCACTAGACAAGGGCTGTTTCTCAATTCACAAGAACGCAGATACGTATGCGTATAGGGCTGCAACTAACGATTATTTTAAAAATCGATGAATCGGCCGATTATTTTTTCGATTAATCGATGAATCGGACAAAAAATATTTTTTATATTAACCTCTTTATTCCAAAATAAACATTTTAGACAGAACAAACAAGCACACAAGTACAGGTTGCTCATTAACTGTCCTGGTGCAATATGAAAAATAAATGTTTGTGTTAAAACTACGCAAACTTACATGAGAAATGTAGCTGTACATCCACAAATTATAGTCTACTTTGTTTCATAAAGCGCAGAAAAAGACATTTTTGTTTTTAAAGCCCCTAAGGGGTTCAAACAATAGGCCCCCCCATTTCAACAAACATTGCCCCACGGCAATGACGACGGCGGTGGATGACGTATTAATCGCGCGACACAACTTATCGATGATGAAATTCGTTGCCAACGCTTTTAAAAGTCGATTTTTATCGATTTGTTGTTGCAGCCCTATATGCGTATGTAAGTATGTTCTTGAGAAAAAGACAGTAAAGTATGGACTCGGGGAGAACGGGAGCACGCAGCATTAATATGGGTCAACTGGAACAGAAGCGTACTGATGACGTCACCACACGCTCGGCACATCTGGAGCTGTGTTTCACCTCCTGTTATTAATAGCCTCTAGATAATAATTAATTCTTGCTTTTTTTCATTTAGCATGGGACTAAGAATGAGCACAGATAAACACAGATTAAATGAACATTTTGCCAAATAAAACAAAAAAATCGGCATCATAGCAGCGGTAAATCACACACGGCTACGCTGAGAGAGGCCTGCTGCAGACGGGCTAAAATGAACCATGCCTGCGGTCAGCCTCAGAGGTCCGATGGTCGCCACGGTCCTCTCAACATCAGAATCTCTTTTTAAATTACTAACTAAATCAGTAAACTGGCCATATAGAGACGCTTAAAAGTAAAATCTTCTCGCTTCAAATGATCTTAAAATGTGCTTTTATAGAACGGCTACAGAAAAGATAACTTTTAAGTCGATACCCGGAGGTCTGTGAGCGCTCCACTGGAAGCTGCTGCTGCTGCAGTGCATGCTGGGACAGCTGTCAATCTCAAGAATGGACAAGTCTGCTCTGATGCATGCTGGGTAAAGAGGGAGGTGCGAGAAAAACATCAGAGGACACTGTCCGTTCTCTGTCTTCTTGTGAATTGGAACAGTACTAGGGCTGAGGATGATGACGTTTTTAGTGTACATGAGAACGCACAAGTACACATATTGAGAAACGGCCGAGAAGATATATCCCATAATGCTTTGCGAAAGGTCTCCTCGCAGACCATTATGGGATTTGTTGTCATAGGTTCCAGCTGTCGCGACAAATAAAGATTGTGCGGGGAGGCGAAGCCATGTTCCTGGAATAATTTGCAAAACTTGCTCCATTAAAATGATCTAGTCCCATTGAATGAATTTAAGGCCATGTTAAAATGTCATGTCATTCAAAAATGTAACTGCCCTATGTGACCTGTCTTTTCCTCTATGTGAGATTTTGTCTATGTTGTATTTCTGTTTGTATTTTAACTGGTGTGCCGTCTTGGCCAGGTCTCCCTCGAAAAAGAGATTTCAATCTCAAGGGACTTCCTGGTTAAATAAAGGTTAAATAAAAATAAAAATAAATAAAAATGTACCAATGAGGAGCGAAAAGTAGTGATCATCTGTTCAAACGGTTAGTTAACCGAGTTCACTATAAAGTCTAGTATATAGCCCCCGCTATGTTGAGCGATGGGGATGGGCGGACGTTCGGAAACGGCCTTAGTAATGGAATTCATTTTCCCACAATGCAAACTGTCCCATAAAACAAGTGAAAAGATTTTGTAAATATTGCATTTTCTGGATTTGATTTTCCAGTGTAGGAATTTACTCTCCTACAACGAATAAGTAACCTGACCTGTTTTAAGACCAGAAATATAAATTACTACATCTTCAAAATCATATTTCTTAACAAAGAAAGTATAAATAAAAAATAAAAAAACATATCTACAAACATTACTGGAAGAGGAAACCAGTAGCATAGAAATGCAGAATAAGGTGTGATAATTGCAGCCAACTGTGATTGCAGAGTCAAACTTTTGTTTACATTTCACAGACAGGTGGCTGCACTGGAAATCAATCTAGAAATAAGTAAAAAATGTCTTAAATTAAGTGTATTTAACCTTAATTTGAGCAGGTAAATGAGATTTTGCCAATTGAATGAGTATTTTTACTCTTAAAATGAGACAATTGGATAAAATGCACTTGAAATAAGACAATGCAATTCCATTTTCTTATTTTAAATGTAAAGTGTCCTGTTCCATTAGCAAAATGTCTCTTACGTCCTCAATCCAAGAACAAACGCACTTATTTTAAGAAAAAGACGACTTATCTAGATTTCAAATTTTTTTTCCAGTGTGCATTGTTACTGCAAAGATGAAGGATGTGATAGAACGTGGATCCGTACCTCTCCCTGTTAAACTTCAGAGAATGAAGGATCGCTGGGATTTTTTGCCTCAGGTTCCACAGATGGATGCTGTCATCAGCTAAGGCACTCACCAGCGCCCCCTGCAGAGACAGCGACAAACTGATGGTTAATCAGAGTTCGATTCACATGAAATAAAATATGATACCTATGGGTAATATAGTATAAATACTTGATCAGGGTTTAAAAGTACCATAGATAGAAGAAAATACCTGCTGCTGGAAAAAAAGGGATAAAAAGATAGAAGAGATGGGTGGATAGACGACACGCACCTCATTGATGAGGAACTGGAGCTGGATGACAGCAGCACCGCTCTCATGCTGACAGTAGCACTCCACACCTGCACGGCCGAACCTACAAGTTGCCTCAGTTAAGGAAAAATAAGGAACATTTGCCAACAAATGTGCTGCAGGACTGAACAGTGGATGGATTCTGAAGACAGAAAAAGTCTAACTTTAGTACATTTCCTGGAAAGACCCATGAAGACGGTAAAAAACCACTAAATCCAGAAAGAGCACAGCTGCTTCAACTTGGAGAGCACCAGCCGGCTTTGTATGGCAATTTCACAAGCCGTCAGATCTTGGGTTTCCCTTTCCAATTGTGTAAACTAACAAGGCTTTGTTCGCTAAAACTGGTCTGTCAAAGCTTTTAAATCTGAACAATATCCTTTTAGCATTTACAAATTATTCTAGTCCTGGAAGCTAACAAGCTAGAACAACCTGATTAGGTGGACATTAGCAGTTTAAAACTAGTCATTGCAAAGCACCTGGTGTTGTTGCTTTACTTATGGAAGACTATTTAAATAACTCCCTTTTGGAAATATATATATATATATATATATATATATATATATATATGGATGCAAACTGGACCTTAAGCCCTTCATGGTGTTTAAACAAGAACTGCAAAAACAATCCGAGCAGCAATCAAACAACTCCCGAGTTTCCTAAACAAACGAGGGCGGGGTTGCAGGGGATGATTGCAGAACACAATTTGCGTTCGGCACGTCTTCTGCCCAAGTAGAGAGGCAAACACAGACTTTTAAGCTGGCGCCAGTTTAAAGCTGCTGCCAGCAGATCTCATGCTGATCCTTGACCTTTCTGCTCAGTTTCAGCCCCCCCCCCCCCATTTGTTGTCAGGATTATTAATGGCAAACGCGCACATCTAGTCCACAGTAGAGAAGGAGTCAGTCATATGTGATCTCCGTATCCTCTGGCCAAGTTTAAATAGGAGCGGAGGAGTAGTTTAAATAATTAGAATGAGTGTGGTGATGCGAGGGATTGTTTCCAAAGCCACAGTAAAGGGTAATGTTGGCCATGCTTTTACACATTAAAAGCACATATTGTACAGCTTTAACCCTTTTCTATTTAAAATTGGGTTAATAGTGTTGCAGAGCAAAGCCACTTTCTAGGCGAGCAGGAAATTACTAAGACAAACCTCAAAACTAGATTTTATCACCCTGGTGAGCAACAGGAGCCGTCTTTTCAAACTTCCTCCAGCACTTTACTATATTCATTTTAAAGCCACCATATAAACTACATTTTGAGTTACTATAGTTTCAACTTTTATAAAACAAAAGCAGAGGGGGGAAAACAACCGGTATTGTTTCTGATGAGGGATGTAATTTTACATTAAATGTATACATTTGAAGCAAGAAGACAAAAGTAGGTAATTTAAAACATTCCTCTTTCTCAATGCTGGATCTATCAGACATGTATAAATAAAATAAATCCACTTTCAATATTCTACAATCATCTTATTGGAATCTGAACCAGTGTGGTTACTGTCAGAGGTTTAAATACAGTTATACTAAACTGTCCCCGCCCCCCCCGAGAATGAAATAATATCTTACATCAACTGAAAAAATCTGGTTCAGGGAAACGGATTGACAGTAAAGCAACACCTGCTGCAAACTTTGATCCCTCTGGGACATTTTCTGGCAATTTATTAAATAAACCTCCAAGCGGTAGGAGTGAAATGAACTGGCCTATGCCCAATTCATTTATTCCACCAAATGTCACTGAAGTTGCTTTTAGACCATCTTTTTCAGTCATCAAAATAATCCTGGCATAAATCTGACTGAATACAAACCTCTCTAAGCAGAACAGGTGAAGTTTATTTCAATTAGTCCTTCTCCTGCCTCAGAGATGGCTTTCTTAGCAAAGTCTCACCAATAGGGCTGGGTATTGTTAGGAATCAATTCAATTCGATTATTGCTGATCCGATCCGATGCAATTCGATTGAATGCTGATTTTTGAAGCCGTGTGACTCCAGGAGCAGCCTGGGATGCCAAGTTGTGCACATGGGCAAAGCAGCCTACATATAATAGCTCAGTGATATCGACAGCAACTAGCATGTTGGCAGCATTATCTGTAACAACAGTGGCTACTTTTCCGGTTATGCCCCATTCATTTATTGCTCCCTGTGTGACTTCCGTGAAGCGGCCTGGTCTGAAGCACATTTGAAACTAATTCCCACTCATTTGATATGAAATGAGACGTGATGGTTATGTAGGGGTCAGTCGCTCTCAAAGTCCAGCCATCGCACGTCAGCGCGACCCTTTCAGCAGCCTTTAGCGACTCCAACAAAGCCGTCTTCACCTCTGTGTACAGTGCCAACAGCTCCCCCGAAGGTCAGGAGGTGAATCGATTCTGAAGGGCTCCCGCATCGATTTTGAATTTTGCGTGTAATAATTGCGACGCATTGATTCTTCAGTTATTTTACCCAGCCCTACTCACCAAGCTTGCATTCGATTTGAGAACAAGGATTCAGTGAAGCCATTTTACAAACTTCCACAAGCTCCATCTGAACTCAGATGTCATTCAATCAAGCAACACAGCTGGTAGAAGAAAAGCATGATGATGTCATGGTGAAGCCTGACAGCTGATCCATACATCATCCTTTAAATCGTCACAGAGGATCGTCACGCTGAAACAGCGAATATTTCAGAGTGCAGAAGAAAAATCAAAACAAACAACCTGCATCAGACTCCACAAGCTCTGATCAGATTTCTTCATAACATAAGACGGGGGGGGGGGGCTTGCTGCTCAAACAAGATCGCCTTTTTACTTTTTTTTTTTCTCAATTCTGAGCTCCTATAGATATGCAAAGAATTATTTATATCATCAATTGTGCAAAAAATTTGCATTAGTTAAATATGTAAATTTATTGGATTGTCTGAAATAAAGAGAACCTGAGGGTGACAGCAATATTTAATCCTTAGGTATTTTTGCTAATTTCCTTGGCTTTCCCATTATTATGATTTTTGGTAAATAACTGTTAATCTAGTAAAGGAAAACTAGCAGCTGCCAGTTAACTGTCTTTGCCTTTGTAAAGTACCGTACAAAGATTCCTGGGATCTTAAGCACGGCTTGATTAATTATGCAACTTAATGTATATATTCTAGACTGTATGTGCATTTTTATTTAAACAGGACAGTTTTATGTTTCCTAATTATTTATTTATAGAAAAACATGATTTTAAATGAATATTTAAACAGTTAAATGAGGCATGGAGTTAGTTATGGATGGATGTTATCTTCTGAAAGCAGCTGCAGGGTTGGGAAGCAAGCAAGGGTTCCAGCTTTAAAACTAATTTGACCCTCAACAAAAAATGGAAAACGACTGATATTATTATGACTTAATATAAATAGGCCAAACTGCATCGGTCTGTTCCCAAGAGCCTCAAAGACTTTGAAACCTTAAATCCTCAAACGGTAAGACTTCCTCATTTGTCAAGCCAGGTTTTTTGCATCAGCTGCTTTTCTTAGGAAGTCAAATTATTATTGTCATCTGAGCAGGGAGGTTTTTTATTGTGCAAACTAACATGTGGAAGAGAGGAACTTGTTTTCCTCAGAAGTTTCAAAAGTACTTCAGCCTCAAATGAGGGGCCAACAAAGCAACAGAGAAGTCAGCTGAGAAAGCGACATATTTCTGGTTCCAGAGCCGCCGACTTGAACGTCTTGAGTTCTAGCGTGACCGATAGCCTGATTCAAAACAAACTTGCAGAATACGGGTTTTTCTGTACTGCCTACTGAACAAAGGCCTGTGAGAGAGGTTCACATGACGATAACCTGTAATAAATACACCACATTTAGAAAGAAAAAGCGACGTTATCAAACGGGTATCATTTTAAATACATGGTATTATTTCCTCTGCTCCTATAAATACAGAATAAACTCAATGAATGCGGTAAAAAAAACCAAAAAAACATTATCAACTAGATTGGTTATGTGCCTGAAGTTTAAAACAGCTTCACCATTATAATACAGACAGGAAGTGTTCCTGTGGTTTTAAGAAGATCTTTAGAATCGATAACTTTAACGTCGTAGTTATAATAAATTCACAGACATAGGTCTGAAAAAAATTATTAATTTTGATTAATCGATGATTGAAACGTCGATAACTAATTTAGTAATAAATTAATCCTAAACTTGAGTACAGAGACCGTAAAACACTCCTTTAGCTGATAGAGCAACCAACTTAGAGCAGAAATATAAAAATAGTTAGAAAATAGATAAACATTCTGCATTTAAGACAAAGAACAAAAATGTTTTTCATTGTTAATATGCTCTATCCTAGAAGAGGATTAGCACCATTGAAAAATAAAAAAGTTAACTGATTTTTTTATTTTATTTCGGTTTAATATGGGGAAAAAATTCAGAATTCTGACTTTTTCTGAGAAGAAAATTCAGAAATCTGACAAAAAAAGTCAGAAATCTGAGACTAAATCAGAATTCTGACTTTTTTTCACATATTAAATTGAAATAAAATGTACAAATCAGTTTACTTTTTAATTTTTTCAGTGACCCTAATCCTCTTCTGTACTATCCAGAACCCCTCAAATAGAAAAGTTTCTTCTTTAAGGAACCTTTGGCTATTTGATTAATCATCTATTAATCAAATAGATTCTGTTCAAATAGAATAGAATCATTCTGTTCCTGTTTGGCTGTGACGTCATCCTGGAAAAGAAACATCAGCTGTGCTGCTTCTATCAACACCCTTGTTTATAGATGTTGGAGATCGGCCGGTTTTCCAGTGTGGTCCTGTTTCTCTGACCGTGACTGAGTGGATGTGCTCTCTTCGTCCTCTGGCATGGGAGCTGCCTTGGAGCTCGTCTGCCTGGCTGTGTGTTTCCTGGACGGGGCCGCCTTTTACAGCTGCTTTTTGTATCTATGCTTCTTTTTCTATGTCTGCTTCTGTCTCCTTGAACCCCAGTCGGCCTCGGCAGATGGCCGCTCACACTGAGCCTGGTTCTGCTGGAGGTTTCTTCCTGTTAAAAGGGAGTTTTTCCTCTCCACTGTCGCTACAAGCATGCTTAGTGTGGGGGATTGTATGTGAGTCAATGAATCAATGCAATCAACTGGTTTTCCTTAGATAGAAAACTTTGTATCAATTTGACTGTATGATCTGGTTGAACTGTAAAGTGCCTTGAGATGACATGTGTTGTGAATTTGGCGCTATATAAATAAACTGAATTGAATTGAATTAAACAAAAAATAATTAACAGCTTAATACTTAATACTTTAAATCTAACTAAACAGAAAAATCTTAAGTTTTAAGAGCAGAATTAATTTACATATTTGCAGTTAAGTCTGAATGTCTGACAATGACCTCCTATATAATATTTTTTGAGGCATTTAAGAGGTGAAATAAGAATACATTCACCCTGCAGGCCTTGATGCTCAATTCCAAATTTTTTTGTGAAATCTGATTTTTTATGTTACCGTTCATATTTCCAAATATATGCGACTTGTATGTGATCTCCGGTATGAACTGCAGTCATACGACGCAAGTGTCCCGCATGCGCAGCAGAGGACGCAATGACGTCACAGGCCATCGGGCTCTTTTTTCCCGGAAGTAAACATGGATGGTAGCACCTGAGCGCATCTAGTGATCTTTTCCAACCATAAAAACACAAACTTTTCAATATGATTTAACATAAACACTCCTCTCCGCATCATCATCATCACCTGCCATGGTTGTTGTTTTTCCTGCCGCTTCTGCGTAGCAAGACGCAAAATAGCGACGTTTGTCGGCTATTCAGGTCGGATGAATCCGATCTGGCCGTTCAGACACAGGTCGCATTTGAAAAGATCAGATTCGTATCGGATTCAGGACCACAGAGCCAAGTGGCCTGGATCGGATTGGAAAAAAAAATTGGATCTGTGTTGTTCAGACTGTCATAAAACGATCAGATTCAGGTCACATATGGAAAAAAAAGAATCCGATTTGGGTCACTTCAGGCTGCAGTGTGAACGTAGCCTAAGTCAAGGAATTCATTTTTGTTATCTCATCTGTATGAGAACTTCATTCCAGTGCCACAACACTAGCTGGCATGCTTTTTAAAACTCTACATGCACAGATGGTCCCAGTTAAAAAAGAAACAAAAAACACCTCTAAATAAACCTTCCCAGTAGCAGGAACTCAATTGCTTACACAGCCGTACCACAACGTTTTAAATGTTGTTTCAAGGGGTTTAAAATAAAGAAAACCACCACTGTGGTTTACAAACTTTCAGCATTGGTTATGCTGTGTCCATCTGCTAGAGCGCAAACTGAATTTTTCCAATAGACATGTGAAGACTTTCACTCAGGAAGCTGCTTCTGAATCACGCCGTAGATTAAACGCTTGCAGGACGAGCCTGATTTGTGCATCTTTAAAGACTTTTTGTATTAAAAAAAAAAAAAACAGCTTTCTAGTTAAAATGTATAAGAAAAATGAATAAAATAACAGATTTGTCTTTACTGCTACAGCTGACATGGCCCAGAGGAGCACTTTAAAGCGCAGGAAACCGTCCACAGTCAGCCGCTGATTAAAACACTGTAGCGGAGACAGATCTTGTGAAAGCAGACATTTATTGCTTGTAGATACCTCGTCGGGCTCATGTCTTCTGAGCCGTGCAAGCGTTTCCAAACTCCAGGGCCGACGAGGCGGATCAATAAAGCGCTGCGTTTTGATAAATGGACCAATCGCCTGAGTGACAGTAATCCCATCAGCTTCACCTTGCACCAAGAGGGGCAACATAGTAGCTGTGTGTGTGTCTGTGCATGTGTGTGCCGTTTTTAGAGGTTACCACGCAAAAGCAAGACTCTTAATCTGATGAGTGGATAAAGACCAGGTCTAATGAAAATCTAATCTGAGCAGATGGGCCTCCCCAGTCGGTTATCATCACAAAGGGAAGCCCAAACTTAATCCACTAACAAGGTTGGTCAAAGGACAGGCACCAGGTGTGGGAAGTCACTTAAAGGGAGCAACCGGTTGGCGGTAAAATTATTTTCTAATCAAAAAACAAACCAATGGAAAAGTGACTTGACTAGTTGTGTTTACAGCATATATGAAGCGGCATCCTGGAACCAACCGGGCAGCACAGACGAAGAGGTAGGCTCTGTAGCATATGGTGGTTGGGGGGGGGGGGGGGGCACAAATGAGGCCTGGCTGGTTTACCAGCTGCAGAGCAACACAACCCTGGCATGTGTGGGATCATTTTTTTCATTCCATCAAAAAGGCGCTGCAGTGAATTCCCATGTTGCTCTGTGGAATGCTGCACAGCAGCTGAGGACTCCAGGAACTCCCACCTGACTCCAGTGTCTGCTCACTACCGCTTCATGTACGTTCAAGATGCTTTTGTTTTTTTCCTGGACTTTTTTTCTTTTTCTTTTTGTCACGTGGGAAACAAAACAAAGGATACAGCCTTAAAGCTCCGGCCTGAGTCCCAACGGCCAGGATTTTCTGGACGGGGTCAAAAGCCATGGAGGATGGTTGATATGGAAAGCCATGACGCACAGTCTGCAGGAGAAAGCACAATTTACATCAGACAGCTAGTCAGGCTAATCTATCATCTCCCACACACTCAAACTCATGATCCCTACAGAAATATAATCCATCAATCTATATTTTTCCACATTTGTCTAACAAACTACATTAAATGTAAAAACAGCAGCACTAAAGTGGGACTTAAATCATTATTGCAGGGTCATTTTGGTACGCTTGCATCATTTGAACTGCGGTTTATTTCTTAGGGCCTTGCAGAGACCCAGAACCACTGAAACAAGATTATCACAGGGCATCTATAACGCAATCATTTCAGGCTGAGAACCTTGCTCAGCCGGCCGTGATCTGTCAAACTTGCAGCAGGATTGCGTAACAGGTGATGCCGTGGCCTCGTAACCTGGCAGACTGACCCGCTCCGCTCCCAGCTGGGGAAGGAGCTGCTGGGCTGGCTGGTCATTCATTTAACAAATGTTTCTCCTGATAGTACTACAAAATAAACCACATCTAAGAAAAGCATGGAGGAAATGACACATCCTGAGCTCAAGTGTTGTTTTTCTGGTTTAGCAAATCGGCAGCAGCGTTTACTGTGGCTAGTGAAGGTCTTTTTACCCCTTAAACTTTGTTGTATATTACTGTTACACAATTCAGTGTGTTTTATTGGGATTTTATGTGAATAAATAATCTGAAAAAGATGCATCAAACTGCATCATGAGGAACTAAAGGACACCATTCAGGAATTAAGTCTAGAAGTTTGAAGCTGCAAGTGAATGAATAAAAAGAAGGTCTATTTACGCGTTGCGATGACCCTTTCAATGTCCTGAACTAAATCTGATTCAGAGTCTGTAGAAAGAATTAAAAATGGAAATTTACTGACACTCTCCATGTAATCTGATCACGTCTATTTTAGAAAGAGGACCGGGCAAATATCTCAGTCACTGAGATGTTCAAGCCTGTTAAAAAAAATGAAAATAAATAAAGATTCATAGCTGTAACTGCAAAAAGAACAGGTTTAACATTTTAACAATTATGGGCAACTGTTTGTCTGGCTTTCAGCAATATCCCAGTAAAATCAACTGAGGTTTAAAATGAAACTTAACAAGAAACAGCTAAAAGATAAGAAGACCAAAAAAATGTGGAAGGCTTGGATTCCCTTGTGATGCAGTGCAAATGCAAACAGTAGTGGACAATGTTTTCCATTGTTAAAATGCAGCAGACATTAATATGAACGTGGGAACAATCACCATTGCAAACAAGATGCCAGTTTATCCACACACACAAAAAAACACATGATCAGAGCTCTGAAATATGCTGTGAGGGGATTTAATCCACAGGCAGCCATGTGGACATTGTACCCTAAAGTGGTGATACTGGGAAGCGAGAAAATATAGTGATTTAGGATTAAGAGTGTTGGATACAACTCAGCAACTGATTCTCCATGAATGTGACCATAGATGCTGCTTGTAGTTTGCTGAGCAGAGCTGATGCAGCTGGAAACAATGTTCGCTCGCGCCGCTGTCATCTGACACATTCAATGGCAGCTCTTACCTTACACAGCTGAAAATGTTCCGACTGGAGAGTCTCCAGGACGGTGTCGTTTTCCTTAGGAGTACCAGGCTGAGCGGAGGTGGAGGAGGAAGAGGACGCCGCTGTCAAGCCGTCCAGCACCTTCCTTATGTTAAACTTCTTCATTTTTACAGACGCGACGCTACAAGAAAACAGACCGAGCGAGCTAACATTAATTGGATTGAGTGTAGAGAGGTAGCTGCTAGCTAGTTAGCCAGAATATAACGCACAGTTAATCTTTCTGCGCTCATTTCACATGTTAACGCGGGTGTTGCCAACGCACTACCTCCAAAAAAAAACAAAAACACCCGAGTCACAAGCATTGGTTTAAGAGTGTCCCTTCCGATAACCGCGTTAATCCGCCATTTGGGAGGCGAGCGTTAACGTTGTTTGATCGGGATCAATCGTTTCGGCGAGCCGCGTTACAAGCCAGCGCTCAGCGGGTAGCGAGCTGGCTACGGAAACGCAGTGAACTGCAGCGAGGACTGCGCATGCGCTCCCGAGTGCGTTTCAGGTTTAGGGGGATTTTTTGCGGGCACAACACTGGTGTTACAACAGATTATGCGACCTACTTAAATCTTTCCCCCTAGAACCGAGACGACAAAGTATCTCTAGAATTTATAACATTTTAACATTGTATTAATATAATACAATTAATATATATTTAATAATATATATATATATATATATATATATATATATATATATATATATATATATATATATATATATATATATATATATATATATATATATATATATATATATATATATATATATATATATATATATATATTATTAAATATATATTAAAAAATTGATAAATTCACACTAATAATTTAAATATCACGAAACTAAAAAAGGAATAATGAATAAAAATGGACTAAATGTTAATTCATTAATATAAAATATTAATTTTCAATTCTAGTCTTAAAAATGTATATCAACTGATTGATTTATTAATTGACTTCATTGATCTCACACTGGAGAAATTTATATTTTACGTATTACATACTAAATACAGTTTACATTTATATATTCAGAACATGTACTCAAGATTATAACATGTCCCAATTTGAAGCTGAAAAAATCTGAACTTTGGTGAAACCTCAGAAATACAGGGTGGCTCCCAGGAATCTGTATGTTGGGTTTGCCCGCTGCAGTTCTTGTAAATCTGCCTTCAGTTTGTCAGATGTTGGAGCAAGGAGTATCATAACACCGCAGGCAGCTGCTATTCGCTTTATAAGCAGTTATCAGTTTATTTCTCTTTCTTTTATACAATTAAAAAAGGATATATCCCCCAGTCCGAAATCTAACTTCAGGGTACAGTCCTCTTTTTTTACCAGTAGGAAACCAATTTTATCTCACTATTATTATATTAGTGCAAACATAACATAGCAATGGAAAAGAACTGTCCCTGTTCCCAGAATAAAAGCCAGTTGCTCTGGATTAAGGGCCTGAAGATACTCTGCAAGAACAGATAAATTAATCATTTCAAGGTGGAAGGAAAAAAAAAACTAATTTTTTCCCTGTCATAAATACTCCATACTTTACGAAAACTCAGGTGTAGAACTCTAGGGAAGCCAACATAATTATTTCTCACTTCAGCCTTTGCTGTTGAGTAACTTTAAAACCTCTTTAAGGTTTTAAAGTAGCTGATTTTACAATTTAAAAAGCTTTAAGATGTGGGGTACAGATACTCATAAAACCAAGAATTACAAGAACAGAATACAGTACAATAATTTCAATTTTCTTATAGCTGGGAGACGTATAACCCCCCCACACCCCTCCCAAGCATGCCCCTTTAGTATCCAATATAGCTGTGGTTCATGCATTTAGTAGAAAATACTGGCAAATCAATATTCTTGCAAAAACAGATGACAGTTACCTGATAAGGGCTTGTAACCACTTATATCATCTTCTTGTGAACAATTTTCATATAATTACATTCTTGTGAGAAAACCTCTGGGATTTGGGGGATCAGATATTTCACTGAATATTGAAATCTAAAGTTAGGTTTGAAGTTAAATCATACTTTTCCCTTGGAATCATCTCTTTAGGGTCCCTTGCCATTTATTTTACCCACAATTAATTGAGAAAAGTTTATTTCAAACATACATGGTTAATTATTAAGAATTTATTTTTATTATAAAATGCAACATCTGTACATGTATATTGATATTGAATAGTATATTGAATAGTTTGGTACTTATTATTAGGGAGATGGTAAGTGTGATAAAATGTTTTATACCTTCTAAATAAGCCGTTCATTTATTAATGGGTTGAATATATTTTAATTTATTCTAAAAAGGTGAGCATTTTTAAAAATGCATTCTAAAAACTGTGAGCATTTGTGGTTTTAAAGCATGAAGCTCAAGTTAGCCAGTGGTCTTGTCGCCCCCTGGTGGCCATAGGGTCCTAAACCAGCCTTATTGTAAAAAGCTACATTGATGACGAGCTTCCTAAAATAGTCCAGCTTAAAATTAAAGTAAATATCAAAAAGTACCATAATAATTAGCTATTGTGTAGGATAACAGAATGTTTTTTTTGTTGTCACTTACGAACTGCATGCATTCATGACAAGTCACCATGTTTCCTTCTTCTTACCTCTATAAAGATTGTGAAAACTAGAAAAAAAAAAATGCTTAAGTGATTACATCTCTTTTATGTCGGTTACTTTTCCATCCCACATGTAATAGAGATCGACTCTTCTTTGAAAGAAGTGAATATTATGTCTTAATTATACATCTGACGCAGCCATATGGAGAAGATGAAAGACAGGGGGTGGTGTTGCTATTCCCAGGAGTGTTTAATGATGAAGTGATCCATATGGTCTTAAACTAATATGCATTAATAACTATGTGAGGCTTACACGTTCCCTCCTACTCCTCTTTCACATAGTGCCTGTGTTTGCAGATGTGACAGACACATCTGGATACGCAGCCCTACTTCTGCCCGGGGGACCATCGCAGCCCAAAGAAGGGAAGAATCTGATCATGCAACATAAAATGCAACTGCAGCAAAAAAGTAAGAAGAGGAATTGATTGGTTGAACATCAATAATTCTAAATTTTTAAATTGATATTATAAAAAAAACATATTCTTATAAATACAACAAGAAATGTAAAATTTCTGGTCAATGTGTCACGGTTTTGGTTCTGTTTAAGTTTTCTTTTGAGTTTTCAGTTTCACTTTGATCCATGTTTTTCTTTGTTTTCTAGTTTTATTGGTTTAATTTCTATTTTGTGGTGTTTTCTGGATGTATTTGAGTTCTTAGGTATTTCTTGATTGCCCTCTGTTGACCTCTGTTGGTTTCCTTTTCCCTAGCTCCTTTCTAGAATCTTCTGTTCACACCTGCTCCCAATCAGCACATTAGTCCTGTCTTTGTTCAGTCTCCTATAAATACTCTCCCCCTGAAGTCTGTCTGTTTTTTTAGTTTCTTGTATTTTGTACTTTGGTTTTGGACTTTTGCCTCAGTTATTTCATTAAATCTTTAAGAACTCACCTCTGCCTCCTCACCTCTGCATTTGGGTCCTCAAAACTTCAACCGTAACCCTGACGCAGTGCTGTCCGGGCATTCATGTTGGCTTTAGATCATAAGTAGCAGCTTTAAGTCTATTTCAACCCATGATATTTCCCTCCCAGAACCTTGTATTTTACTTTGGGGGTTTCTTTTTAACACTGAAAACAATACATAGCAGACGTGTTTTTTTTTTTGTTTTTTTTTTTCTCCAGATTTAATCACCATAGAAATGTTCAAATATAAAAAAAAAAAACCTTAGTCAATTTGAGTTCAGCTGTAAGCTATCCAAATAAAGTTGCCCTTTGTGATAAAGTGAAAACCTTATGAAAGAATACGGCAGCAACAACTGCCTTCAAACATAACTAAACTTTACTATTATTAAATGCCAACAGGCACTAAGGGAATTAACTAAGTGTTTAAGACAAGAAGTGGGGGTTAAGTGGGGGTGGGGTCAAGATGAGGGAAAGTGACAATAAAACTCAAAGTAGCTAAATTTTGAAACTGGCTGTCTTATAGCAATAAAATGCTCACCTAAAATAAACTAGACGCCATTGATTAATTGATTTTAATACTTAAAATTAAAACCACTTACTTGCCACGGTCATCTTTGTCTGAGTGAGATGGTTTTATGATGCGGAAGTAAGATTACCACGTAGGACACAGTTTTTGTCATTGGTTTAACAGAGGCTGTAATGGCCATACAGGTGCTGGTCATAAAATTAGAATATCATGAAAAAGTAGATTGATTTCAGTAATTCCATTTAAAAAGTGAAACTTGTATATTATATTCATACATTACATACAAACTCATATATTTCAGATGTTTATTTTGTTTAATTTTGATGATTACAAATGACAACAAATGAAAATCTCAAATTCATCATATCAGAAAATTTGAATATTACTGAAGACCAATAAAAACAAAGGATTTATAGAAATGTTGGCCAACTGAAAAGTATGAACATGAAAAGTATGAGCATGTACAGCACTCAGTATTTAGTTGGGCCTCCTTTGGCCTGTATTACTGCAGCAATGCGGCGTGGCATGGAGTCGATCAGTCTGTGGCACTGCTCAGGTGTTATGATAGCCCAGGTTGCTCTAATAGTGGCTTTTAGCTCTTCTGAATTGTTGGGTCTGGTGTATTGCATCTTCTTCTTCACAATACCCCATAGATTTTCTATGGGGTTAAGGTCAGGAGAGTTTGCTGGCCAATTAAGAACAGGGATACCATGGTCCTTCAACCAGGTACTGGTAGCTTTGGCACTGTGTGCAGGTGCCAAGTCCTGTTGGAAAATGAAATCTGCATCTCCAAAAAGTTGGTCAGCTGCAGGAAGCATGAAGTGCTCTAAAACTTCCTGGTATGTGGCTGCGTTGACCCTGGACCTCAGAAAACACAATGGACCAACACCAGCAGATGACATGGCACCCCAAACCATCACTGACTGTGGAAACTTTACACTGGACTTCAAGCAACGTGGATGAAGTGCCTCTCTTCTTTTCCTCCAGACTCTGGGACCTTGATTTCCAAAGGAAATGCAAAATTTACTTTCATCAGAGAACATGACTTTGGACCACTCACCAGCAGTCCAGTCCTGTTTCTCTTTAGCCCAGGCAAGACGCTTCTGACGCTGTCTGTGGTTCAAGAGTGGCTTGACACAAGGAATGCGACAGCAGAAACCCATGTCTTTCATACGTCTGTGTGTGGTGGTTCTTGAAGCACTCACTCCAGCTGCAGTCCACTCTTTGTGAATCTCCCCCACATTTTTGAATGGGTTTTGTTTCACAATCCTCTCCAGGGTGCGGTTATCTCTCTTGCTTGTACACTTTTTTCGACCACATCTTTTCCTTCCCTTTGCCTCTCTATTAATGTGCTTGGACACTGAGCTCTGTGAACAGCCAGCCTCTTTAGCGATGACCTTTTGTGTCTTGCCCTCCTTGTGCAAGGTGTCGATGGTCGTCTTTTGGACAACTGTCAAGTCAGCAGTCTTCCCCATGATTGTGTAGCCTATAGAACTAGACTGAAAGACCATTTAAAGGCTTTTGCAGGTGGTTTGAGTTAATTAGCTGATTAGAGTGTGGCACCAGGGGCCATCAATTTTGAACCTTTTCACAATATTCTAATTTTCTGATATGATGAATTTGAGATTTTCATTTGTTGTCATTTGTAATCATCAAAATTAAACAAAATAAACATCTGAAATATATGAGTTTGTATGTAATGTATGAATATAATATACAAGTTTCACTTTTTAAATGGAATTACTGAAATCAATCAACTTTTTCATGATATTCTAATTTTATGACCAGCACCTGTACATGAAAAACACAGAATAGAAGTGTCCACAAACAGGAAAGCGGAGCGTCGCTTCCACTTCCACTTCCACTTCCCAGTCCCAAGTTTAATGCCAAGGTAAATTATAGCCAGCCACGGGGCGGTAACATAGAGACGATTCAATCTGTAGTGTTTTGAACAACAAGAGAATCCAACTTCAGTAGCAACATTTCAATTCTTAAAGGTCAGTCTTATGACTGTTTTTAGTCGGAACTGGGCACCAAGTGTAGAAATTTATATATATAAAAAAAGAAAAATCAAATTTCTGCTATTTAACGCACCCTCTTCACATTTAGTGCTTTTTTCTAATATTTAGGGTCAAAACCCTAAATATAAATCTATCTAAATATATAAAAATTTATACACTTTTCCACATTCTATATCTTAATATAATGTTATAATCAAAATCTTAAATCTATTCAAAAACCAATATGTCTAAATCTTACATTTAAAATATATCTTAAATCTAAATCTTAACTACATTTAAACATATACATTTATATAAGAACTCCAGTGAGAAGGGGAGGTGAGCTGGGACCTTCAAGATGCCTCCACTTCTCCTTGGTGGTCCTATATGCTAAGACTTAAGATCTTTAAATCTGTGATTTAAGATTTAGATTAAAGATATTGTCAGGATTGGTGGATATTTGTAGAGGACCCAAATGCAGAGACAGAAGCAGAGATGGTTTCTTTTAGGTTTAATGATGAAGCTGGAGGCAATAGAAGCATAAATCCAGACTAAATGGGCAGGGAACTTAGGAAGCAAAACTGCACAGGAGGTGTATATATGGGAGAAAGAAACGATGAATGGGCTAATCAGCTGATCGGGAGCAGGTGTGGACAGGAGCAACAAAGAATGACAAGGAAAAACAGGATCTAACTGTAACTGGGAAAGAACTTAAATAAAGGAAATAAAACTAATGACTACAAATAAACCAAGGAATAATGAAAGAAGATAAAATAAATAAATAACAAGGGAAAGTAAAACCTAGAATTCAAAAATTATATAGATCTCAATAAACACAGAATAACATAAAATAATTCATAAGTGAGAACACCCTCCCCCCCCCCAAAAAAAACCCAACAACAAACAAACAAACAAAAAAAGAAAAAAGAAAAACAATCAGTACCAAAAAATAAAGACAGATACAGGATATATATTTCAAAGAGAGACGGATACATCAACCGCATGGTATTTTTGGCTTTATTCTTATTTAGATCTTTGATCTAAATGTTAAATCAAATATTTTTAGATTTAACATTTAGATCAACAATATATCAGAATCAGTATCAGAAGTACATTAATAATCCCAGAGGATACACTTAAATTTATGAAACAGATTTAGGTTTGAGATATATGTTTAGATTTAAGATGTATATAAAACCAATAGATTTAATAATAGTAATAAATCTACCCTGGTAAATAGATATAACATTTAAATATGAATATATCGGATGTTTAGATATTTTGAATATTTAGCGTTTGCCACTAAAAGTAGAAAAAAACCCAATGAATGGTAAAAAAGTGTGTTATATATCAGAAATGTGAGCACCTTTTTCAGGTAAAATATTGCAGAATTACATTAGTTTAAATAAAAAAGCTTTAAGGCTAAACTCATACACTTTATCTGCAAAAATTGATTTAATATAATCAACATTTCATTTTCCCTGGTGTTTTTAGCGCGTCTATAGCACTGGATATCATGCAGCTGGAGTGATCAAATCGCAGTATTCTTACCGTAGTTTCCCTGTTACAAATACTAATAATAACAAATGACGCAAAAGGACAGATTGCAAATCTACATCACTTTTGAATTTGCATACGTTTTTTCTCCACTAGATGGCAGCATCTACCAATATTGCGTTATCCTCCAATCTGCTCACATGTCCTGAATGAAATCTCGCAGCCCATTTTCAACACCATGGACAGCACCAGAAAGCTCCATACGGTCAAAATGATGTATCTTTCTGGATAGTCATGTCGTTTTTGATCATTTAGTTCAGTCATATTCATCCTTTATTTTTCCATCTACAGTCTATTTTTCTGCAGAAAAAGGAAAAACATGAGGGTGCAGGGGGAAAAAATTCAAGGCTGGAATCTCTATGCCTGCTCTCCACAGATAAGGAGTACTGAATTTACTCCAAAGGCCATTTGAAAATAGGTCACTCAAGGCACGCTATCAATCAGA